CCTTGCCACCGTACACCCGTCGCCCTCGGGACACGAGAGCGTTTCCGCCCTCATCTCCTGTCTCACCGGCAAGGCGTTGGAATGGGCCAACGCCGAATGGAGGAGGATAGACGCCGCGACGATCACCTATGCGGAGTTCTCCCGCCGCTTCAGGGCTGTGTTCGACCATCCACCTGAGGGGAAAGCGGCGGGGGAGCGTCTATTCTACCTCCGGCAGGGGAGGAGGAGCGCCCAGGAGTTTGCACTGGAGTTCCGGACTCTAGCGGCAGATGCAGGGTGGAATGAGCGGGCCCTCATAGACCACTTCCGATGCAGCCTACGGGAGGACGTCCGTCGAGAGTTGGCTTGCAGGGACACCACCCTCACGTTCGACCAGTTGGTTGACATGGCCATTCGACTCGACACCCTGCTGGCCACCCGCGGACGTCCTGAGTGGGGGTCGTCCATTCCACCCTCCAGCACCTCCGAGCCGAGTCCTATGGAGCTCGGGGGTGCTGGCGCTAGAGAACGGAGGGGAAGGAGTCCGAGGGGGGCCGTCCCCTGCACCAACTGTGGCCGTGGAGGAGACACTGCGGCTAGGTGCTGGGGGGGGTCTCCAGGGGGATGAGAAGGCAGGCCACGCACTTGGGGAGTCCTTCCAGGTGAGTAGGCGCCCCACTTACCCAGAGCTCTCTGTTGTGCACCTAACCATACCTGTTTGTTTTTCACAGGTTGCACCTCGTTCCCAGCATAAGGCGCTAGTAGATTCAGGCGCAGCTGGGAATTTTGTAGATCGGAAATTTTGTGTACAGTTAGGGATTCCTCTCCTTCCTGTCAACAATCCCTTCCCTGTACATGCTCTAGATAGCCGTCCGTTGGGATCGGGGTTGATTAGGGAGGTCACAGCGCCACTTAGGATGGGGACGCAGGGGGGTCATGAGGAGACTATTCAGCTATATCTGATCGACTCTCCTGCGTATCCGGTGGTGCTGGGGCTTCCCTGGTTGATTACCCATAATCCCTCTATTTCGTGGCAACAGAGGGCTCTTAAGGAGTGGTCTGACCAGTGTGTGGGGCGATGTCTGGGTGTTTCCGTGGGGGCGACCTCGGTGGAGAGTCCAAACCAAGTGCCCGCAATGCACGTTCCCCCCGAGTATGAGGATTTAGCACTCGTGTTTAGCAAGGCGAGGGCGACGCGATTGCCATCACATAGACAGGGGGATTGTGCGATAGACCTCCAGGTAGGAGCTGCGCTTCCGCGGAGCCATGTGTATCCTTTGTCTCAAGAGGAGAAGAGGGCTATGGAGACTTACATAGCCGAGTCTCTGAGACAGGGATACATACGGCCCTCCACTTCCCCTGCGTCCTTGAGCTTCTTTTTTGTGAAGAAAAAGGATGGAGGTTTGCGCCCGTGTATTGATTACCGCAGTCTCAATCAGATTACTGTGAAATACAGTTATCCACTCCCTCTGATTGCGACTATGACGGAGTCATTACACGGAGCGCGGTTCTTCACAAAGTTGGACCTCAGGAGCGCCTACAACTTGGTGCGCATTAGGGAGGGCGATGAATGGAAGACAGCATTTAGTACCACTTCGGGTCATTACGAGTATCTCGTCATGCCATACGGGTTAATGAATCTTCCAATCCTTCGTGGATGAGATCTTCCGGGATATGCAGGGGCAGGGAGTGGTCATGTACATTGACGACATTCTGGTGTACTCTTCTACCCGAGCCGAGCATGTAGCCCTGGTGCGCCGAGTGTTGAGGAGGTTGTTGGAGCATAACATGTATGTCAAGGCAGAGAAATGTCTGTTTTTCCAGGAGTCTATCTCCTTTTTGGGTTATCAGTTGTCCACGTCAGGGATGAAGATGGAGGTTGACCGTGTGTCAGCCGTGCGTAATTGGCAAACCCCAACCACGGTTAAAGAGGTGCAGCGGTTCTTGGGCTTTGCGAATTACTACCGGAGGTTTATCCGGGGTTTTGGACAGGTGGCAGCTCCCATAACGTCCCTTCTGAAGGGGGGTCCGGTGCGCTTGCAGTGGTCTGCTGAGGCGGATAGGGCTTTTAGGAGACTGAAGGACCTGTTTACTTCGGCCCCGGTGCTGGCGCATCCGGATCCCGCGTTACCATTCCAGGTAGAGGTGGACGCGTCTGAGGCCGGTATAGGGGCCGTGCTCTCGCAACGGTCCGGCACGCCACCTAAACTCCGTCCCTGTGCTTTTTACTCTAAAAAGCTCAGCCCGGCGGAGCGAAATTATGACGTAGGGGACAGGGAGCTGTTAGCCGTGGTACAGGCCCTAAAGGTGTGGAGGCATTGGCTTGAGGGGGCTCAACACCCTTTTCTCATTTTTACTGACCACCGTAACCTGGAGTACATCCGGGCAGCTAGGAGACTGAACCCTCGCCAGGCTCGGTGGAACATGTTTCTGGCCCGGTTCGTATTTAAGATCACGTACATCCTTGGGTCCCAGAACGGTAAGGCAGACGCCCTGTCCCGGCGGTATGACACGGAGGAGAGGTCCGTTGAGCCCACTCCCATACTACCGACGTCTTGTCTGGTGGCACCGGTGGTGTGGGAGGTCGATGCTGAAATCGAGCGGGCGTTGCGTACCGATCCTAGTCCTCCACAGTGTCCTGTGGGTCGGACGTACGTTCCGCTCGAGGTTCGGGATCAACTTATTTATTGGGCTCACACGTCACCCTCCTCTGGACATCCAGGTATTGGCCGGACAGTGCACTGCCTTAGCACTAAATACTGGTGGCCAACGTTAACCAGGGATGTGAGGGTTTATGTTTCCTCCTGCTCGGTGTGTGCCCAGTGTAAGGCACCCAGACACCTGCCCCGGGGTAAGTTACAACCCCTGCCCGTTCCACAACGACCCTGGTCTCACCTCTCGGTGGATTTTGTTACAGACCTTCCCCCCTCACAGGGGAATACCACCATCCTGGTCGTTGTGGATCGGTTCTCGAAGGCCTGTCGTCTCCTTCCCATGCCGGGTCTCCCTACTGCCCTACAGACCGCTGAGGCACTATTCACCCACGTCTTCCGGCATTACGGGGTACCCGAGGATATAGTGTCAGAACGAGGCCCCCAGTTTACCTCCCGAGTCTGGAGAGCGTTCATGGAGCGCTTGGGGGTCTCGGTGAGCCTTACCACGGGGTACCACCCAGAGAGCAATGGGCAGGTCGAACGTGTAAACCAGGATGTGGGTAGGTTTCTGAGGTCGTATTGCCAGGGCCGGCCGGAGGAGTGGGCGAGGTATGTTCCCTGGGCCGAGATGGCACAGAACTCTCTCCGCCACTCCTCCACCAAACTAACTCCTTTCCAATGTGTGTTAGGGTACCAACCGGCTCTGGCACCTTGGCATCAGAGCCAGATCGAGGCCCCTGCGGTGGATGAGTGGGTGCGGCGCTCGGAGGAGACGTGGAACGCTGCACACGTCCATCTGCAGCGGGCCATCCGTCGACACAAGGCGAGCGCCGATCTCCACCGCAGTGAGGGGCCGGTGTACGCACCGGGAGATCGAGTCTGGCTCTCGACCAGAGACCTACCCCCCCGCCTGCCCTGCCGGAAGCTGGGTCAGCGGTTTGTGGGGCCTTTTAAAGTCCTGAGGAGGTTGAACGAGGTGTGTTACAGGTTACAACTGCCTATTGATTATCATGTTAACCCCTCGTTCCATGTGTCTCTCTTCAGGCCGGTGGTAGCTGGTCCACTCCAGGACTGTGAGATAGGAGAGACTCCTCCGCCCCCGCTGGACATTGAGGGGGCTCCGGCGTACACAGTTCGGTCCATCCTGGATTCGAGACGTCGGATGGGGGGTCTCCAATATCTCGTGGAGTGGGAGGGGTACGGCCCGGAGGAGCGGTGCTGGGTGCCGAGGAGGGACATCTTAGACCCGTCTCTTCTGACTGAGTTCCATCGTGGTCATCCCACGCGCCCTGCTCCGCGTCCTCCTGGTCGTCCCCGAGGCCGGGGTCGGCGCACGGCTGGAGCCGCGCGTCAAGGGGGGGGTACTGTCACGGTTTCGGCCGAGGCTGCTCCTCCTCCTTGTTCGGGCAGGCTTCGGCGGTCGTCGTCTCCGGAGTACTAGCTGCCACCGTTCTTTGTTTTCGATGTTTGTTTGGTTTGGTCTGTTTGGTACACCTTTTCACGTTTAGTGTTGATTATGTGTCCTATAAGTTCTCGTGGTTTCTGTCATGTGTTGTGTGTAATTGTTTCACCGGTCAGCAGGAGCTGTGAGTTATATTTCTCCATTTGTTTATTGAGAGAGTGTCCGCACTTGTGTGCGCATTTAAGTTTGTACTTTGTGGTTTACGCAGTGTGCGTAATTTTCACTTGCCTCCGGCTCTTTTGTAGCCGTTTGTTTTTTCGTGTCTTTACTAAAGACTTTTGGACGAAGCCTCTGTGTCCTGCGCTTGATTTCCCACACCACATCCACGCTCGAACTGACAACCCATTACGACAAAAAGGCCTCACACCAGGAGTTTGAGGTCGGGTATATGATGTGGTACTACGTATACACCAAACCCATGGGCGTTGCGAAAAAGTTCCTGCCCCACTGGACAGGGCCACATGAGATCGTGTTAAAGCTGTCACCAGTTGCTTATCAAATCAGAATCAGCAAAGGTCGACAGAACATCACGTTCAAGTGGGTCCACAGGAACCAAATCAAGTTGTACACTCCCCCCATGGGAATAGAAGGGGTGCAAGCCAGCCCCAAATAGATAGAAACCTAGCCAATCAGAGGAACTAACAAAAGTCTTAAGTATCCTCAGCTGATCCCTTCCGGAAGGTCAGTACATTGCGCCTAACAGTACATATTTTCTTCTCTTCCCAGCTACAAGACACACATTTCGTTGTCATTGTTGATATTGTCCTGCGTTGTGCTGTTCAAAATAGGAAAATCAGCTACTTTTGTTGTCAAAATGTTTTTCTTTCAAAAAACAAACAAACAAAAACAAAATAAAACAAAACTGAGATAATCAAACAATATCTCTAATTATGCGTTTTTGTAGGATGGAGTTCCTTTGGATGATCCTGACACTCTGCGTCTTGGTCAAAACCAATCCAGCAGATGTACTCATGAGTGGACCCCCTACGGGAATCGTTCTCCATGATGATCCAGGACTCCTTATAACCAAATGCAGAGTACATAAGCAGAGGGTGTACGTCTGCCTAGATCCAGAGAACGTGTACCGCCAACACATTTCCCCTGCGGCACATATGAGTTGGGCCGGGGCTTACTGGACCACCCAGGCAGTTAAGCACGCTCAGCTAGACACTGCCCACATGTTGGCCCAACTCCAAAAGCTCACAGTCACCCAGTCAGAACTAGCAGAGCCCAGGCTAGAAAAACGATTCCTCAGGGCGCTACTCTCAATAGGTGTAGCCGTAGGGTCACTATTTGCTCTACGTACCACTGCCATCAACGCAGTCAGTCTAGCCACAGTCAAAGTAAATGTTAGGGAGATTACTGAAGAGATGCCACTTATCCAGAAACAGATGCAATCACACACACTCAGGTTGCAGCATGTGGGAAGGTCTCTCTAGGACACTATTCTGGTGGTAAACACACACGCTACTCTCATGAACAAAACCCTCCTGTCGGTAGGCAAGCTAGTAGAGATCATGAACCATGACTATGCCCATGTCCAATTGGTTCGATTGTTGTTGGAGGATTTTCTCTGTGAAGTTAGCTCTTCTATGGACCACTTAGCTATTAATAGAATCCCCTCATATCTAGTGCCACTCTCAATGGTGCACAACATATTGACCTCAGCTACCACAACCATGATAAAGCTATTACAGTCACACCTGGCCTATAGTCTGGGGTCTGTAATTCCAATACACGTTGATTTTTACTGACACTGCCGGTTGTTGAACTGGAGAATAGCTATAGGTTGAAAACAGTTCTAAACATAGGAGTTTGGCGCGACAACACCCATGTGAAAATCATCACACCTCCAGTCATAGCTTATCAGGAACACAATACAGATTTCTATCTCACCCCTAACCTGTTAATGTGTACTCTAACCAAAGACGTCCACTACTTGTGTCCTAGCAAACCCTTCGTCAGGGATAACACTGAGTGCCTTTGTGGCCTTAAGCCTATCACCAGCGAAGAACGCTGTAGAGCCAAACTAACAGCAAGAGGTGGAGTCACCACCACGCAAGTGGTAGGGAATCAATGGCTGATTAACACCCCATTCACGTCCGCCACTATGTCTTACGAACGCGATGACTCAACCACCCAGCTGAACCTCCCCAATCAGACAATTTTTGTTAAGGTAACAGAGGGGGCGATAATCCACATAGATGACCTAGCTCTATACCAACTTCCTGACAACTTCAGCTCAAGGGCACATCAACAGATTTTTCACCTAGTCGGCTCGGGGATTAGAACCAGCGACCTTTCGGTTACTGGCACAACGCTCTTAACCACTAAGCTACCTGCCGCCCACGGTACATGGTACTCACGAGATCAACGCACATGGGACAATAATGGACAAGGACAATGGGGAACAGAGGGCACATATATACACATACTAATCAGGGAAAATGGGAACCAGGTGTGTGTAATGAGACAAGACAGTCTGGGGTAGGTGGTAATGATCCATGTCAGTGATACCTAGAAGACCGGTGACGTAGACCTCCGGAGCTGGTGAATGGAATGAGCAGCAGTACCAGGGGGATCCGTGACAACTATTGGACTTTCAGCTGTTTGAAGCTGGTGTACAAAACCGAAAGTAAAAGGCGCAAAAACAAAACTTAAGTACGGGAAGCAAAGAAATAGCGCACACAGAACAGACATATCGCTTCTTAGACTTGCTTTCAATGAGAATGACAGATCTATAACACACATTTCTATGTGAATTTGGTCAGGTCATCCAAAAAGTTACATACTGCAGCTTTAAGGAGGTATTTCTCATTTAATTCAATTAAAATTCATTAAAAAATTACAAAGTCAAAAAGCTTTTGCCGTGGATTGGAGGGAAGAGGTCCCTAAACCAATAACAGTTGGTTGTATTCATGAAAGTCATATGGAATGGAAGCTATTGAAGTTTTAAGGAAGTATTTTTTAAATGTAAAGTCAATTAAAATTTATAGAAAATAGACAGTCAAAAGATACAAAATGAATTGCAGTGGATTGTAGGCGAGGTCCCTTAACCAATAACAGTTGGTTGTATTCATGCAAGTCATATAGGGTGAAAGCTACGAATTTCCCTCAAAGAATTTCAGTTGACTGAATTTAAATTGAAATTACACACAGTCATTTCAAGCAATGAATAGCCCGTGTGAAGTTTAATGTAGCCTACTCGCATGCATTTCAAAACATCATAATTTTTCTTGTGTTGTGACATAGGCCTACCTGTTGTAAATAATGCAGGCCAAATGTGCAGGGCAGGCTAATGGTGGATCATTAACTGATAAAAAAACAATGACAAGTAGCCTTTGTACCTTAGGAAATAGTACAAAGGTTCTGTTAAGTAAGTGAGTGACAGGTAATCAGCCAGATTGTGGCAGAGCCATATACAGTGCATTTGGAAAGTATTCAGACCCCTTCACTTTTTCCACATTTTGTTACGTTACAGCCTTAAATTACTTTTTTCCCTCATCAATCTACACACAATACCCCATAACGGTAAAAAATGGAAATATCACATTTACATAAGTATTCAGACCGTTTGCTATGAGACTCGAAATTGAGTTCAGGTGCATCCTGTTTCCATTGATCATCTTTGAGATGTTTCTACAACTTGATTGGAGTCCAACTGTGGTAAATTATATTGATTTGACATGATTTGGAAAGGCACACACCTGTCTCTATAAGGTCCCACAGTTGACAGTGCATGTCAGAGCCAAAACCATGCCATGAGGTCGAAGGAATTGTCTGTAGAGCTCCGCGACAGGATTGTGTCGAGGCACAGATCTGGGGAAGGGTACCAAAAAATGTCTGCAGCATTGAAGGTCCCAAGAACACAGTGGCCACCATCATTCTTAAATGGAAGAAGTTTGGAACCACCAAGACTCTTCCTAGAGCTGGCCGCCCGGCCAAACTGAGCAATCAGGGGAAAAGGGCTTTGGTCAGGGAGGTGACCCAGAACCTGATGGTCACTCTGACAGAGCTCCAGAGTTCCTCTGTGGAGGTGGGAGAACCTTCAAGAAGGACAACCATCTCTGCAAAACTACACCAATCAGGCCTTTATGGTAGAGTGGCCAGACGGAAGCCACTCCTCAGTAAAAGGCACATGACAGACGCTTGGAGTTTGCCAAAAGGCACCTAAAGGACTCTCAGACCATCAGAAACAAGATTCTCTGGTCTGATGAAACCAAGATTGAACTCTTTGGCCTGAATGCCAAGCGTCACGTCTGGAGGAAACCTGGCACCATCCCTACGGTGAAGCATGGTGGTGGCGGCGTCATGCTGCGGGAATGTTTTTCAGTGGCAAGGACTGGGAGACTAGTCAGGACCGAGGGAAATATTAAACCTGCTCCAGAGCGCTCAGGACCTCAGACTGGGGCGAAGGTTCACCTTCCAACAGCACAACGAGCCTAAGCACACAGCCAAGACAACACAGGAGTGGCTTCGGGACAAGTCTCTGAATGTCCTTGAGTGGCCCAGCCAGACCCCAGACTTGAACCTGATCTAACATCTCTGGAGAGACCTGAAAATAGCTGTGCAGCGATGCTCCCCATCCAACCTGACAGAGCTTGAGAGGATCTGCAGAGAAGAATTTGAGAAACTTCCCAAAAACTGGTTTGCCAAGCTTGTAACGTCATACCCAAGAAGACTCGAGGCTGTAATCTGCCAAAGGTGCTTCAACAAAGTAATGAGTAAACGGTCTAAATACTTATGTAAATGTAATATTTCCGTTTTGTATTTTTAATACATTTGCTAAAATTTCTAAAAAACGTTTTTTGCTTTGTCATTGTGTGCTATTGTGCATAGATTGATGAGGGGAAAAAAACAATTTAATTCTTTTAGAATAAGGCTGTAACTTAACAAAATGTCGAAAAAGTCAAGGGGTCTGAATACTTTCCGAATGCACTGTAGCCTAGAGCTGTGGTGTATACAGTATTTTCTAGTCACGACACTGATAAGATACACAAGTGCAGCAAAAATAGAATTGTACTTTAGGTTGTATGTATGTTGGCCTATGCCATAATAATAATAATAATATTGGCTAAGGCTAAGCAGTTTTATTTGTAAAGGCTACATTCACATCTCTAAAACGTGAAGGACAGAATAAATGGCCATTGCAGAATAATTTACAGTGGTAGGATAAAAACTTTAACCTAAAAGATGTGATAATGCAGTTTTGCTTCTATAGGGTAATTGACTTGTTATACATACACAATTGACATGACCTCAAAGTCAAGGCTTTGGTCATTTAAGGACAACAACTCACGCCAACAATGAATTGCCCCACTCTCCCTATTCGGTACAAAGGTAAACGGCACACCTGTAAGGGTAAAACTATAAAGCCTAAGCAAATCCTTTCAACACAACTCTTTCCCGCAGTCTGTTGAGGTCTGGGGTTGTATAACAATAGGCGTGTCGCTGAGCCCTCAAATCATTGAATGTTGAGGCCATGAAGAAACCTACAGACTTACTGAGACTTTCACTGTCAATTGGCCTACTAATTCTATATACTTCGGCCGAATCCAATGGTAAGTAGGCTGATATCAGTCGTTGAAATATTGCATAGGCTAACAACTGTGGTCAGGAAATATAGAAGATATAGGATGTTGCCTAACTACCGTAGGCTACATGGCAGGTTGATATTTAAGTTTACATAATATAGGCTAGGGCTGGCACAAATACCGTGTAACCAATGGCTATGGATGAAGACGCCATGGAAATAAAATAACCGTCATAACCGGAAAAATATATTTTGGGTGTGTCGAATGAACAGCTGACTGTATGACCACTATGCAGCAGCAGCACACATAGAAATAGCATGAATAGAACAGGCTTGGAACCTCTAACCCTGGCAATTTGACTGGTAAACTCATTTGTACACTCGCAATGACTACCTGGTATTGTGATGCAATAATTTTCATGGTAATGTAGAATGTTCATTCAAATGATGTTAACTGATGTGACTCCTGCAATGGAATAGATGCGGTAAAGAGGTCATTCGAACTCGACCAAAACAATGGAATTGCCATGGAAACGCGTGGGGGGAAGGGCCATAGGGGAAAGGTCACGAGTTTCCTCATTGCCCGCCCAGCAAATTTAGTCTATATTTAGGCTATTGTTTATATGTGTATTTCACACTATGTTGAGGTACAAATCAGAGTATAATGCTTGTATGGAGGTCAACCCTAACACATGTTCATGTCATCGTTACCAATCAACTGCATTACAGTTAAAAAACGACTTTGACTACCATCAACGATTTCTGTATGCTAGCTATGCTAACCAGCTTATACGAATTGGAGTTAGAATTTAGCAGTCACTTCTTCTAAACCTGAAAAGGGACAACTAGTGCTTTTCTTTGAAAACATGCAATGCAATGGGACATTTGCATGATACCCAATTAGGAATATGTAGGCAAAAAAAATGGCTCCCGGCTTCCCAAGCCCAATCGAAGACACTGATCTGGTCTAGCCGCTACCCCCTTTGCTTCTGCAGGCCAGGGGCTACTCAGTCTCTCTTCAAGTGGACATGTGTAATGGAGTGCGTGGACAGAAAACCACATCCTTCATGTCCTCTGGAAATAAAGTTCCCTTTTGTGTGTCACTTATGTATAACTCTGTGAGATTGCTTAATTCCTCTGACCAGGAAAGGTGTCAGTGAGTCACAGACCAGGCCATCAGTATTCCGTTTTACATGATTGGGCCCTACCTATCCTCAGAGAGAGGATAATTACAGATATTTCACACACAGTTTAATAACACATTTATAATGGGATACAAATAAGCACAAGGTTTTTGGAGACTTTGATTTAGGGTAATTGAAAAATATATATTTAGATTTGTCCTGTACAGTTGTCCCTTTGGTCAAAGAGACACATTTAAGATTATTACAGCAACATACCCTGCTAGTGATTTTATTCACAACAGATCTACAGATCCTTGTACTTTAGTTTCTTCTTAAGTGGAAACTGTATTTTTTTCCTGCCCATGTTCTAAGCAACCTTTCATAGATATTAGTTGATGGCTGTCTTTTGAAAATTCCTGAAATACCACTCCTATCATTTTTATATGGATGTTATTCAAGATAGCATTTCTGACTTAATAAATGTGATCATTAATATGGGTAAATATCATATACACTACCGGTCAAACGTTTTAGAACACCTACTCATTCAAGGGTTGTTCTTGAGTTCCTACATTGTAGTATAATAGTGAAGACATTAAAACTATAAAATAACATACGAAATCATGTAGTAACCAAAAAAGTGTTAAACAAATCAAAATATATTTATATTTGGGATTCTTCAAATAGCCACTCTTTGCCTTAATGACAGTTTGCACACTCTTGGCATTCTCTCAACCAGCTTCATGAGATAGTCACCTGGAATGCATTTCAATTAACAAGTGTGCCTTCTTAAAAGTAAATTTGTGGAATTTCTTTCCTTCTTAATGCGTTTGAGCCAATCAGTTGTGTTGTGACAAGGTAAGGGGAGTATACAGAAATAGCCCTATTTGGTAAAAGACCAAGTCCATATTATGGCAAGATTATGGCAAGAGAAACGACAGTCCATCATTACTTTAAGACATGAAGGTCAGTCAATACTGCTGCAGAGGATAAGTTCATTAGAGTTACCAGCCTCAGAAATTGCAGCCCAAATAAATGCTTCACAGAGTACAAGTAACAGACACATCTCAACATCAACTGTTCAGAGGAAACTGTGTGAATCAGGCCATGGTCGAATTGCTGCAAAGAAACCACTACTAAAGGACACCAATAAGAATAAGAGACTTGCTTGGGTCAAGAAACACGAGCAATGGACATTAGACCGGTGGAAATGTGTCCTTTGGTCTGGAGTCCAAATTGGAGATTGTTGGTTCCAACCGCTGTGTCTTTGTGAGAAGCGGTGTGGGTGAACGGATGATCTCTGCATGTGTATTTCCCACCGTAAAGCATGGAGGAGGAGGTGTGAGGTCTGTGATTTATTTAGAATTCAAGGCACACTTAACCAGCATAGCTACCACAGCATTCTGCAGTGATATGCCATCCCATCTGGGTGGGCTTAGTGGGACTATCATTTGTTTTTCAACAGGACAATGACCCAATACACCTCCAGGCTGTGTAAGGGCTATTTTACCAAGAAGGAGAGTGATGGAGTGCTGCATCAGATGACCTGGCCTCCACAATCCCCCAACCTCAACCAAATTGAGATGGTTTGGGATGTGTCGGACCGCAGAGTGAAGGAAAAGCAGTCAACAAGTGCTCAGCATATGTGGGAACTCATTCAAGACTGTTGGAAAAGCATTCCAGGTGAAGCTGGTTGAGAGAATGCCAAGAGTGTGCAAAGCTGTCGTCAAGGCAAAGTGGGGCTATTTGAAGAATCTCAAATATTAAATATATTTTGATTTGTTTAACAATTTTTTGGTTACTACATGATTCCATATGTGTTATTTCATAGTTTTGATGTCTTCACTATTATTCTACAATGTATAAAATGTAAAAAATCAAGAAAAACCCTTAAGTGAATAGGTGTTCTAAATCTTTTGACCGGTAGTGTACATGTGTGTGGAAAGGCATTTTCTAATGACTTATTAATTAACAAAACATCTGAGAAGATATTGCTATCAGTAAATGTCTCACTACCTTATTTTTTAATGTGACCATTCTCTGCTCCAATGGAACTGCCGTATCCCTTGAAATATAACCCCCTTGTAGTTATTTCTGTGTTTTTTTTTGTCTAATAATCCCTAGTTTGTTCTGGGTTTTTTCCTCGTGCAATAATGTATTTGATGTTCATGCAATAAAAAACATATTTTATGCTAGTGCTATGGGAGAGGTACTTTCGACATACTGTGGCCTATAGCTATAGCACAGATATACATTATAGACAAAGGGTTACATTCAAAGCTGTTGACATGAGTTGTCAACAAGAATGGTATATGATCTGGATAAACAGACTGGATTATACACATTTGAAGGGTGTTTGAAACCTATTTTTACTCAATGAAAAGGAGTAACCATACATTCCCCTGTTTTTCTAAAGTAACACACCTATAACTAACTGCCTTAACATCTCAACAGCACCTGTGGTCCAGACCAAACTGGGGGGACTGAGAGGGCAGTATGTGAGCGTAAAGGGGAAGGAGACCGTGGTGCAGGCCTACCTGGGTGTGCCGTTTGCCAAACCACCTATTGGCCCCCTGAGACTGGCCCCGCCCCAGCCTGTGGAGGGATGGGAGGGAGTGAGGGACGCCACCCAGCAGCCTCTCATGTAAGACCCAGCAAGGTCACAAACAAACCATTCATCTCAAGTTCCTGGTTATTTGAATAAGGGTTAGATAAACAATGAGATTGAATACAATCAGACTTCTCAATGAGTTTTATGTTTTTCAGGTGTCTTCAAGACAGACAAATTACAAAAGACCTTTTCTCCAATGTGTCCATGACAGTGGAAATCCCAGAGGTGTCAGAAGATTGTCTTTATCTCAACATTTACACTCCAGTTAAACCTGCTGAGAAAACAAGGCTTCATGTAAGTAATATCAGACACTTAGCCAACAGTTGATTGACTTCCCAGTGATGCTGTTGAAACAATATAGAGTTGCGGGGACCAGAAAGTTAGGTCACACCGCGGTAGTGGCAGATTTGAATAATACAGGACATACTGGGTTAAAAAATATATTTGTAGTGCTTTAATGTTATTGTCATCAGCGATGCACTTTTTCAATGCAAATTTGTTAGGTGTGTATAGGCTACTGAAATGTATTATGTTTGTGATTTGTATTATTTTACATTTACATTTAAGTCATTCAGCAGACACTCTTATCCAGAGCGACTTACAAATTGGTGCATTCAACTTAGGATAGCCAGTGGGACAACCACCTTTTTTTTTTCCTGGGGTGGGGGGGGGGGGGGGGTAGAAGATTACTGTTATACTATTCCAGGTATTCCTTAAAGAGGAATTATGATTATGATTGATAATCATACTTTTTCAGGCAGTTATCGTAGTGAATAACTCCCAGTCATGTTGTCACGCGACGTGTATGCGGTCAGCGAAGTCAAACGCAGGACACAGAGCGGCTGGCAACGTACATTTACTGAACACAGTAAATATAGTGCAAAAACAACAAACCTCCAAACAGGGAGGAAAACACAATAACCCGTACACCAAAGCAACTGCCGGAATGACAAAGAACAATCACACACAATAACCAATGAGAGACAGGGGGTAATATAGGGAATACAATACAACATAATGGGAAACAGGTGTAAACAATAAAGACCAAACAAGACAAACACCGAAACATCAATCGGCAGTAGCTAGTACTCCGGGGACGACGAACGCCGAAGCCTGCCCGAGCAAGGAGGAGGAGCAGCCTTGGCTGAATCCGTGACAGTATCCCCCTCTTGACGCGTGGCTCCAGCCGGAGCCCAGGAGGACAGGAGGACGCGGAGCAGGGCGAGTCGGATGACTCCGGTGGAAATCCCTCAACAGGGAGGGATCTAGGATGTCCCTCCTAGGGACCCAGCACCGTTCCTCCGGACCGTACCCCTCCCACTCCACGAGACACTGCAGACCCCCCATCCGACGCCTCAAATCCAAGATGGAACGGACTGAGTACGCCGGAGCCCCCTCGATGTCTAGTGGGGGCGGAGGAGCCTCTCGTACCTCATTCTCCTGGAGTGGACCAGCTACCACCGGCATGAGGACAGACACATGGAACGAGGGGTTAATGCAGTAAATAATGGGCAGTTGTAACCTGTAACATACCTCATTCAATCTCCTCAGGACTTTAAATGGCCCCACAAACTGCCGACCCAGCTTCCGGCAGGGCAGGCGAAGGGGCAGGATTCGGGTCGAGAGCCAGACCCGATCTACCGGTGCATACACCGGAGCCTCACTGCGGTGGCGATTGGCGCTCGCCTTTTGCCGCCTGACAGCCCGCTGCAGATGGACATGCGCAGCGTTCCATGTTTCCTCCGAGCGCTGAAACCACTCATCCACCGCAGGGGCTTCGATCTGGCTCTGATGCCAGGGTGCCAGGACCGGCTGATAACCCAGCACACACTGAAAAGGCGGAAGATTAGTGGAGGAGTGGCGGAGTGAGTTTTGGGCTATCTCTGCCCAGGGGATAAACCCCGACCACTCCTCCTGCCGGTCCTGGCAATAGGACCTCAGAAACCTACCCACATCCTGGTTTACTCTCTCCACCTGCCCATTACTCTCAGGGTGAAAACCTGAGGTAAGGCTAATCGAGACCCCCAGACGTTCCATAAACGCCCTCCAGACTCTAGAGGTGAACTGGGGACCCCGATCAGACACTATATCCTCAGGCACCCCGTAGTGCCGGAAGACGTGAGTAAACAGGGCGTCGGCAGTTTGTAGGGCTGTAGGGAGACCTGGCATAGGAATGAGACGGCAGGCCTTAGAAAACCGATCCACAACGACCAAGATCGTAGTGTTCCCCTGGGAGGGGGGAAGGTCCGTGACAAAATCCACCGATAGGTGAGACCACGGCCGTTGTGGAACGGGTAGGGGTTGTAACTTCCCTCTGGGCAGGTGTCTAGGCGCCTTACACTGGGCGCACACCGAGCAGGAGGAAACGTAAACCCTCACGTCCCTAGCTAAAGTGGGCCACCAGTACTTCCCACTAAGGCAGTGCACTGTCCGACCAATACCAGGATGACCAGAGGAGGGTGACGTGTGAGCCCAATATATCAGTCGATCACGAACCTCGAGCGGCACGTACTTCCGTCCCTCTGGACACTGTGGGGGAGTAGGGTCGGCACGTAACGCCCGCTCGATGTCTGCATCGACCTCCCACACCACCAGTGCCACCAGACAAGACTCCGGAAGTATGGGAGTGGGCTCAATGGACCTCTCCTCTGTGTCATATCGTCGGGACAGGGCGTCTGCCTTAGCTTTCTGTGACCCTGGTCTATAGGTGAGCTTAAATACAAATCGGGTAAGAAACATGGCCCACCTAGCCTGGCGAGGGTTCAGTCTCCTCGCTGCCCGGATGCACTCCAGGTTACGATGGTCAGTCAGAATGAGAAAAGGGTGTTTAGCCCCCTCAAGCCAATGCCTCCACACCTTCAGGGCTTGAACCACCGCTAGCAGCTCCCTGTCCCCCACGTCATAATTGCGCTCCGCCGGACTGAGCTTCTTAGAATAGAAAGCACAGGGGCGGAGTTTGGGTGGCGTACCCGAGCGCTGAGACAATATAGCACCGATCCCCGCCTCGGACGCATATACCTCAACTTGGAACGCCAAAGAGGGATCCGGATGTGCCAGCACCGGAGCCGAGGTGAACAGGTCCTTCAGATGTCTAAACGCACTGTCCGCCTCAGCCGACCACTGCAGACGCACCGGGCCCCCCTTTAGCAGGGAGGTGATGGGAGCTGCTACCTGTCCAAAGCCCCGGATAAACCTCCGGTAGTAATTGGCAAAACACAAGAACCGCTGCACCTCCTTCACCGTGGTGGGAGTCTGCCAATTACGTACGGCTAAAACACGGTCAATCTCCATCTCCACCCCTGACGCGGACAACCGATGTTCCAGGAAGGAGATGGACTCCTGGAAGAACAGACATTTCTCCGCCTTCGCATACAGGTCAAGCTCCAACAGTCTACCAAGCACCCGACGCACCAGGGACACATGCTTGGCTCGTGTAGCGGAGTATATTAGAATGTCATCAATATACACCACTACACCCTGTCCATGCAAATCCCGGAAAATCTCGTCCACAAACGATTGGAAGACTGAAGGAGCATTCATTAAACCGTATGGCATGACGAGGTACTCATAGTGACCCGAGGTAGTACTGAATGCTGTCTTCCACTCATCTCCCTCCCTAATGCGCACTAGGTTGTACGCGCTCCTGAGATCCAATTTTGTGAAGAATCGCGCCCCGTGTAATGACTCCGTCATACTAGCAATCAGAGGGAGAGGATAGCTGTATTTGATTGTAATCTGATTGAGACCACGGTAATCAATACACGGGCGTAAACCCCCATCCTTCTTCTTCACAAAAAAGAAACTCGAGGACGCAGGGGAAGTGGACGATCGTATGTATCCCTGTCTCAGAGATTCGGTGACGTATGTCTCCATAGCCGCCGTCTCCTCCTGAGACAGAGGATACACATGACTACGAGGAAGCGCAGCGCCTACCTGGAGGTCTATCGCACAATCCCCCTGTCGATGAGGTGGTAATTGAGTCGCCTTCTTTTTACAGAAGGCGAGTGCCAAATCGGCATACTCAGGAGGAATGTGCATGGTGGGAACTTGGTTCGGGCTTTCCACCGTCGTTGCCCCTACGGAAACACCTACACACCGCCCGACACACTGATCAGACCATCCCTTGAGAGCCCTCTGTTGCCATGAAATGTTGGGGTCATGAGATGTTAACCAGGGAAGCCCCAACACCACGGAAAACGCAGGAGAATCAATCAAATATAACCGTATAATCTCCTCATGGCCCTCCTGCGTCTTCATCTTAAGTGGCGCTGTGACCTCCCTAATCAATTCCGACCCCAAAGGGCGGCTATCTAGGGCATGGATGGGAAAGGGCACATCAACTGGTACAATAGGAATCCCTAATTTATACGTGAACCGGCAATCGATAAAATTCCCAGCTGCGCCTGAATCTACTAGCGCCTTATGCTGGGAGTGAGGAGAAACCTCGGGAAACACAACTTTAATACACATATGCGCAACAGAGAGCTCTGGGTGAGTTTGGTGCTTACTCACCTGGAATGACTCATCAGTGCGCTGCCTACTGCCTCGATTCCTAGGAGACCCTCCCCAGCACCGACCCGCAGTGTGTCCTCTGCGGCCACAGTTGGTGCAGGGGACGGCCTCTCTCCTGGTCTCTCTCCTGGTCTCCCTAGCACCAGCACCCCCGAGCTCCATAGGGCTCGGCTCGGAAGTGCTGGGGGATGGAATGGACGGCCCGACTCCGGACGTCCGCGGGTAGCCAACAGGGTATCTAGGTGAATCGACATGTCCACCAGCTGATCGAAGCTTAGGTTGGTGTCCCTGCAGGCCAATTCCTGACGCACGTCCTCCCTCAGGCAACACCTGTAGTGGTCGATGCGGGCCCTCTCATTCCATCCCGCGTTGGCAGCCAGAGTCCGGAAGTCCAGTGCGCCCTCCTGCGCGCTCCTCTTCCCCTGTCTGAGGTGGAACAGACGCTCACCCGCCGCCTTCCCCTCTGGGGGATGATCGAATACCGCCCTGAAGCGGCGGGTGAACTCCGCATAGTTGACTGTAGCGGCGTCTATTCCCCCCCACTCGGCGTTGGCCCACTCCAGCGCCTTGCCGGACAGACAGGAGATGAGGGTGGACACGCTCTCGTATCCCGAGGGCACCGGGTGAATGGTTGCCAGGTAGAGTTCCACTTGGAGCAGGAAACCCTGACACCCGGCCGCTGTGCCATCATAAGCCCTCGGGAGCGAGAGCCGAATCCCACTGGTCCCCGGAGGTGAAGCGATGGGTATAGCTGATGGTGGTGGTATCGTCGGAGGAGGTGTGGGCAAACCTCCTCTTTCCCATCGCTCCATGGTGTTCACCACCCGTTCCATGGCGGTGCCGAGTGCCTGGATCATGGCCGCTTGTTGTGCTACGCGCTCCTCCATTGATCCAGCTGGCACCGCCGCTCCTGCTGACTCTTTGTCTAGGTGTGTGATTCTGTCACGCGACGTGTATGCGGTCAAACGCAGGACACAGAGTGGCTGGCAACAGAAATATAGTGCAAAAACAACAAACCTCCAAACAGGGAGGAAAACACAATAACCCGTACACCAAAGCAACTGCCGGAATGACAAAGAACAATCACACACAATAACCAATGAGAGACAGGGGGTAATATAGGGAATACAATACAACATAATGGGAAACAGGTGTAAACAATAAAGACCAAACAAGACAAACACCGAAACATCGATCGGCAGTAGCTAGTACTCCGGGGACGACGAACGCCGAAGCCTGCCCGAGCAAGGAGGAGGAGCAGCTTCGGCTGAATCCGTGACACATGTTTAGTGGAATACTTGTCAATGTGCAGTGAAGCTGTGCAGGGAAGATGTTTTCATCATTAGTCAAAGCTAATGATAACTGCTAAAAACGTCCAGGTCATCAAAGGCTACAAGTCCACACAGAAGCATAGTTCCCGAAGGGCAATTTGAGTTCAGCATAAAATAAGTTTAAAAATACAAAAAACATGAAACCATATAATACAACATACGTACGATGAGAAGTGCAAAGTGAATCTAAATGCAGCTGGTATTTACTTTTTTCAGCATGTATTGCTTGTGTTTCTCAGGTCATGGTTTGGATCCATGGTGGAGGATTCGCCATTGGCTCTGCATCAACATATGATGGTTCTGCTTTGGCTGCATCCCAGGATGTGGTTGTAGTGCTGATCCAATACCGTTTGGGTCTGCTGGGGTTCTTCAGGTAAGACTGGAACCATTACAGAACCACACACAATTTGAGATTTTATATAGCCTGGTTATTGTTTTTATTACGTTACGATTTCCTTATTGTTAAATTTTTTTGTCTTACTTTTTAACTCTGCACTGTTGGGAATGTGCTCATAAGTAAGCATTTCACGTTGAAGTCTACACCTGTTGTATTCATGGTATGTGACCAATAAAATTGGGTTTGATTTGATTTGGAAGTACAGTATTTCACGACTAGATGTTATAGATGGTTCCTCACCCTGAAAGTAGTCTATGGGCCGGGAGAAACTGTAATCCATGGTTCCCTTTTCTTTAAACAGCCACAACAAACGTCAGCTAACTTTAGCCTCCGCTAGCTAGAAATCAATGGAAGTGATCAGGACAACCGTGCAATTTTCTAAATGTCATGGTCAAATCAACTTGATTATTTGGTTTGACATTCCGTAAAGGTGATTTGGCCTTTTTTTAACATTGCACGGTTGCCCCTATAAAAGTGTTGGATTCGTAACCTCACTCCTCAGCCTGAAATGTCTCGACTTGCGTTGCTGAACTGCTATTTTTGCCATGGCGCAACTGGCTAAGAACATACTGTAGTGTGATTTTGCGAGTCAGAGGATCCGAGTTCAAGTACTAGTAAGGACTTGTGAGGAAGGAAGCTATACTGTTAAAGGCCCAGTGCAGTCCAAATGTAGGGTTTTCTTGTGTTTTGTTTCATATTGAACAACAGCTGATGAAACTAACACTGTCAAAGTGTGATCAGTGTTATTTTCTGATAGTTACTGGTTGAAAATACAATCTACGCAGGACCTTCTACTCATCAGGCTTTGCATGGGTGGAGTTTTGGCTTGCCTGGTGACATGAAGTTTTAATAGACCAATAACAAAGAGAGTTCCAAAGCTCTCTGCCAATACAGCTAGTTTTCAGTTTTCCCCTCCCCACTCAGATCACTCCCAGACAGTCCTAGGAAAATGTTTTTTGGTGTTGTAGTGGTTGCTGCAAGATAGTGTATTTGGAGTCTGCTGTTTTGGGCTCATTTTACTGGTTTCACATCTCTTCCATACAGCACAGGTGACAAGTATGCCCCAGGGAACATGGGACTAATTGACCAGGTGGAAGCTTTGCGGTGGGTCAAGGAGCACATACACAACTTTGGGGGCGACTCCAAGTCGGTCACCATATTTGGAGAGTCTGCTGGTGGAGTGAGTGTATCATTACTGGTGAGGACACACACACACACACACACACACACACACACACACACACGCACAACATATATTCAGCAATTTATGTAAATTGTAAAATATAATGCACTAAACATTTTGTCTAATGTATTTATTGTATCACTTATATTACCAAATAATTTCGGATGAAAATATGTTTCCACAAATACAGTATAATGTATGTATACTATTGTGTGTGTAATATAGTTGTATGTATTGAGAGACATCACTATCTTGAATAGCTTCTTGATTCTTGTTGTGTTTCTTTCATCGCTAGCTTCTCTCTCCGTTGTCTACTGGTTTGTTCCATGGTGCGATAGCCGAGAGTGGTACCGCAGTGATGGACGCGCTCTTCAATCCCAATCCCCTGCCTGTGGCCCAGGTATTTTCAAACCTTCTCTGAACCAAACTCAGTACTGTGAGAGAGATACAGTATGAATAGCACAAAGCACATACATAAACAGATGTACTACAAAATCAATAGTTGTCATCCATCAATCAATGTCCTGATAGTCATTACAACCATGCCATGTCAAGCTATTCTATTGATCTCGTTTTATAGATGGTGGCAAACATGTCTGGTTGTGAAAGCACCAACACAGAGAAGATAGCAGACTGTGTGAGGAAGTTGACCGCTGACGACATTTTAAACATTCACAAACAGGTGAGACATCCTGGACAGTAGTCTATCTTGCCAGGGTTCTAGGTATCTCGAGGAAGGGCACCAGCCTTAACATTCGGTTATACTAAGCAGCAGGCAACATGTACGAATTATAATCGTAACATATGCTACTGTGTTGCCTAGTGAGGTAGGTGAATGAAAACACTGAGCCTAGAAATGCCAATGGTGTGACAGGAAACAGGCTTGATGTAGATAGAGGTTGCATCATAAAATATGCCTGACATGATTTATCAATCTTGTCTTTTTTAAGAATCAAATGCTAGCGTTTGTTGTGACTGTTGACGGGCAGTTCTTGCCAAAGTCGGCGATGGAAATTTCCCAAAACCATGAGATGCACAAGGTGCCGTTTATGACTGGAGTCAATGACAACGAAGGTGGCTGGATTATAGGAAAGGTGAGAGTCGGTTTTGAATTTGTGTCAACAATCAATGCTAGATTTTAGGCTGATAAAGATGGTGTCTCAATACAATGATAATACTTTTTTGCTGAAAGTTTTATGAGCCTAAAAGGTGTTGGAAAATGTGATTATTGAGTGACACAGGAGAAAGATCATTAGTTAACAAACATCATGTTAAATAACGTGATGCTAAAATTAATGGCATTGTCATTGTCAAGGTAAAAGCATTCAATGAACCCTAATGGTGAGGAGTGGATATAATCCTTTGACATCCTCAGTTTTAGTGCTCTGCGCAACCCAAATTTGACCTCAAATCTTCCATTTACACCATTGCATGATTTACACAATTAGCATATGTACCGTATTAAGATCATACTGTGGATTTTAGACAAGTAATAATGTGTTTTCTTCCCATAGTTATTTGCTCCTCCAGGTTGGGAGAATGGAGTGGACCGGGTGAAGGTCATGCCCATTATGGCCATGTTCTACCCTGATGTGAGACAAAAGCACACCATCACTCAGATGATATTGTCTAACTACTGATTACAATACATGTTGTGGCTACACTGAATGGTTGTTGTCTCCTTCAGCCCAAGGATCAGTGGATAACTGAGCTGATAGCAGATGAATACCTGGGAACCTCTGGAAATCGGGTGAAAAACCGTGATGGGTTCACTGAGCTGGTTGGGGACATTATGTTTACCATTCCTGCCCTTCAAACAGCAAACTTCCACAGAGGTAAGAGCACTATTTTAGGGCCAATAGAGTTCAGCATTAGGACTGGTATATCAGACACTAGACCTACTTCAGAGGTTTTCTCACAAAGCAATCACATTCTGAGGTCTTTGTACAGAAATCAAGTTTATTTCCAGAGAGGCCAATTCACCTTAATGTTACTGTCTTATCCCACACAACAGATGCAGGTGTGCCTGTGTACCTGTATGAGTTCCAGCAAACTCCCAGCATGCTTAAGAAGATGAGGCCGAGTTTTGTTGGGTCTGACCACGGAGATGAGCTTATGTTTGTTTTTGGATCCTGCTTCACATCACATGTTATAATGGATGGTAAAGGAATAATCTACCAATTCTACATGGACTACCCCTGATTTTTCCATAAATACTGAATATATTACAAGCACTCACCCCCAACTACTAACTAACTCTGGAATTGTTTATCTCAGTCTTGTGTACAGAGGAAGAGGAACAACTAAGCAAAATCATGATGAGTTACTGGGGTAACTTTGCTCATACAGGGTAGGGAACTGTTCTCCACCAGCAGTGGAAGCTGGTGGGGGGAGCTATAGGAGGACGGGCTCATTGTAATGGCTGGAATGGAATTACTGGAACGGAGTCAAACGTGGTTTCCATATGTTTGATCTGTTTGATACCGTTCCAATTATTCCATTCCAGCCATTGCAATGAGCCCGTCCTCCTATAGCTCCTCCGACCACCCTCCACTGTCCACCAGTTTCCAGAACATATCTGTAGAACCAAATTAATATGTAGGAACAGTGTATCATTCACAATTGTGTGTGTGTGTGTGTGTGTGTGTGTGTGTGTGTGTGTAGGTCTCCTAACGGGGCAGGCCTGGTTCAGTGGCCACAGTACGGACCAGAAGGAGATTACTTGGGTATTGGGCTGGAGCAGGTACCTGGTCAACACCTGAAGAGGGACCGCTTCACCTTCCTGACACAGACTGTTCCTGAGAAACTGCGCTTGGGTCGAGAGAAGATGGAGCACAGTAATCTGTAGGGTGCCACTATTTTATTTATGGTTAATTTACTGTATATCAGGGAGACGCAGGATGGCTAATGTGAATTAGATTTTGGAGCAATATGACTCCACTGAGAGGTGTCGGCAGCTGGGGCTATCTTTTCCACTGGGGGCATATTAATATTAAACTTTATTCATTTATTGTATTCCCTGATCCAAACAGACACCATACTGGAATGAATAATTGTATTACTTATAGGGATAGTTCACCTAAATTACAAAATGACATATTGGTGTTTTTATATGCTGACTAGACCGGGCACGCACATGCGCTATTGCACGCATGTTGATTTTGTCCATCCACACTATTTTAATTTTATTTTTTTAGTCATTTAGCAGACGCTCTTATCCAGAGCGACTTACAGGAGCAATTAGGGTCAAGTACCTTGCTCAAGGGCACATCGGCAGATTTTTCACCTAGTCGTCTCTGGGATTAGAACCAGCAACCTTTCGGTTACTGGTACAATGCTCTTAACCACTAAGCTACCTAGACGCGATCAGGACACGCAGGTTGAAATATCAAAACGAACTCAGAACCAACTATATGAATTTGGGGACAGGTCGAAACACATGAAACATTAATGGACATTTAGCTAGGTAGCTTGCTGTTGCTAGCTAATTTGTCCTGGGATATAAACATTGGGTTGTTATTTTACCTGAAATGCACAAGGTCCTTTTTTTCTGGAACTTTGTAGAATTTTTACCTATTTTGAGTCACACAAAATCGTGTGTTCTCTACTCCAACAATTAATCCACAGATTAAAGGGGAAACCTAGTTAGTTTCTAGTAATCTCTCCTTCAGTCTTCTTCTTCTGTGGACTTAATATGGCGGTTGGCAACCAACTTTGACTGGAGTGTGGACCTCAGTTCATCTTTCAGTCACCCACGTGGGTATACAGTACCAGTCAAAAGTATGGAAACACCTACTCATTCCAGGGTTTTTCTTTATTTTTACTATTTTCTACATTGTAGAATAATAGTGAAGACATCAAAACTATGAAATAACACATATGGAATCATGTAGTAACCAAAAGAGTGTTAAACAAATCTAAATATATCACACAGAAAAATACAATATAAAATTATATGAAATAAAAGTTACAAATAATTAAAGAGCAGCAGTAAAATAACAATAGCGAGGCTATATACAGGGGGTACCGGTACCGAGTCAATGTGCGGGGGCACCGGTTAGTCGAGTTAATTGAGGTAAATGCTAGAAAGTTAGCATTTGGAGATATTGGCCAGGTAAGAATGAACCAAAATCATGACTTAATCCTCTTGGTTCCCTTGTACTCATGGGGGTCATGTGTGGCTCAGTTGGTAGAACATGGCACTTGCAATGCCAGGGTTGTGGGTTAGATTCCCATGGGGGACCAGTACGAAAAAGTACAAAAATGTATGTACTCACTACTCTAAGTCGCTCCAGAGTGTCTGCTAAATGTAATTTTTGATTTAACTCATAAGGCATCTACCAGGGCTCTTAAAGATGCAGTCAGGGATCTTAACCACTTACAAATTCTTAACATATCATACGAATTTCCAATAAATAAATACAATTTTCACAGGATGTAACAAATCATATGAAATGGATGACATAGTACACAATTGTGCACAATGTTTGGCTTGTGAGCACTACTTTCAAAACTACTGGCTGAAATTATACAAAACCTCTGGAACATCACTTTAAGCCAACTCTTTTCAACCAGAGGGCTTTCATTCCTGTAGAATGGAGCATCTGTAGTAGTTTTTTTTGCCTTCTCTGCTTTCTTTTTGCTTGTAGGTTGTAGTCCATTGCCTGTCTTGTTATATTTGTGGGTTTTCTGAATGTGAATGTATTTGCCTCTGTCATTGCCTCCCACTTTCAGTTGTTTCCTTCCCTCTATAGAACGTCATTCAGAGTTATCGTAAAACAATGTCAACTGGTGATTTCTCCACAGACCAAAAACTGGGCCGGTGGTCCAGACCAAACTGGGGGGTCTGAGAGGGCAGTATGTGAGCGTAAAGGGGAAGGAGATGGTGGTGCAGGCCTACTTGGGCGTGCCGTTTGCCAAACCACCTATTGGCCCCCTGAGACTGGCCCCGCCCCAGCCTGTGGAGGGATGGGAGGGAATTAGGGACGCCACCCAGCAGCCTCTCATGTAAGACCCAACAAGGTCACAAACAAACCATTAATATCAAGTTCCTGGTCATTTGAATAAGGGTTAGATAAACAATGAGATTGAATACAATCAATAAATACAGTGAGGCAAGCTGAATGCGCACAACTGAATTCTGAAAGCTTAACCTGTCTCGAGCAATGCTTTGCCATAAAGAAGACACAATTCAAATAATTATATTGGTTGTGTTGTAAATTAGTTTATTTAACACAAATCTGATGAAATTTGGACTTCTCAATGAGTTTTATGTTTTTCAGGTGTCTTCAAGACAGACAAATTACAGTAGACCTTTTCTCCAATGTGTCCTTGACAGTGGATATCCCAGAGGTGTCAGAAGATTGTCTTTACCTCAACATTTACACCCCGGTTAAACCTGCTGAGAATACCAAGCTTCCTGTAAGTAGACACCTATGGCCAACATAAGTGTGAGTGTGTCACGGTACACTAGTGGATGTGGTGGTAAAGTCAGGCGCAGGACACAGCGGATAAGTCCAACGACTTTACTGAGACTCAAATATGATAATAAAAAAATAAATGGCCTCGAAACACACAGGAGGCAAAGAATACGCGCAACGCGTAAAATACACAAATGCAAACAGGTACCGACCAAAGACAAACGACAGGCGGACAACAACACACAACTCCAAAACATAACACAGGGAAACTTATAGGTGACATAATCAGGACAGAAAACGAAACAGGTGCACTAAACTAGACATGACCAAACAAACATCGAAACATCAAACGGTGGCAGCTAGTACTCCGGGGACGACGAACGCCGAAACCTGCCTGAACAAGGAGGAGGGGCAGCCTCGGCGGTATTCGTGACAGTACCCCCCACTTGATGCGCGGCTCCAGCCAGGAGGACGCGGAGCAGGGCACGTGGGATGGTTTCGGTGGAACTCCGTCAGGAGGGAGGGATCTAAGATATCCCTCCTAGGCATCCAGCACCGTTCCTCTGGACCGTACCCCTCCCACTCCACGAGACCCCCCATCCGACGTCTCGAATCCACGATGGACCGGACTGAGTACGCCGGAGCCCCCTCGATGTCCAGTGGGGGCGGGGGAGTCTCTCTTATCTCACAGTCCTGGAGTGGACCAGCTACCACCGGCCTGAGGAGAGACACATGGAACGAGGGGTTAATGTGATAATCATTAGGCAGTTGTAACTTGTAGCATACCTCGTTCAATCTCCTCAGGACTTTAAATGGCCCCACAAACCGCCGACCCAGCTTCCGGCAGGGCAGGCGAAGGGGCAGGTTTCGGGTCGAGAGCCAGACCCGATCTACCGGTGCATACACCGGAGCCTCACTGCGGTGGCGATCGGCGCTCGCCTTTTGCCGCCTGACAGCCCGCTGCAGATGGACATGCGCAGCGTTCCATGTTTCCTCCGAGCGCCGAAACCACTCATCCACCGCAGGGGCTTCGATCTGGCTCTGATGCCAGGGTGCCAGGACCGGCTGATAACCCAGCACACACTGAAAAGGCGGAAGATTAGTAGAGGAGTGGCGGAGTGAGTTTTGGGCTATCTCTGCCCAGGGGATAAACCCCGACCACTCCTCCTGCCGGTCCTGGCAATAGGACCTCAGAAACCTACCCACATCCTGGTTTACTCTCTCCACCTGCCCATTACTCTCAGGGTGAAAACCTGAGGTAAGGCTAATCGAGACCCCCAGACGTTCTATAAACGCCCTCCAGACTCTAGAGGTGAACTGGGGACCCCGATCAGACACTATATCCTCAGGCACCCCGTAGTGCCGGAAGACGTGAGTAAACAGGGCGTCGGCAGTTTGTAGGGCTGTAGGGAGACCTGGCATAGGAATGAGACGGCAGGCCTTAGAAAACCGATCCACAACGACCAAGATCGTAGTGTTCCCCTGGGAGGGGGGAAGGTCCGTGACAAAATCCACCGATAGGTGAGACCACGGCCGTTGTGGAACGGGTAGGGGTTGTAACTTCCCTCTGGGCAGGTGTCTAGGCGCCTTACACTGGGCGCACACCGAGCAGGAGGAAACGTAAACCCTCACGTCCCTAGCTAAAGTGGGCCACCAGTACTTCCCACTAAGGCAGTGCACTGTCCGACCAATACCAGGATGACCAGAGGAGGGTGACGTGTGAGCCCAATATATCAGTCGATCACGAACCTCGAGCGGCACGTACTTCCGTCCCTCTGGACACTGTGGGGGAGTAGGGTCGGCACGTAACGCCCGCTCGATGTCTGCATCGACCTCCCACACCACCAGTGCCACCAGACAAGACTCCGGAAGTATGGGAGTGGGCTCAATGGACCTCTCCTCTGTGTCATATCGTCGGGACAGGGCGTCTGCCTTAGCGTTCTGTGACCCTGGTCTATAGGTGAGCTTAAATACAAATCGGGTAAGAAACATGGCCCACCTAGCCTGGCGAGGGTTCAGTCTCCTCGCTGCCCGGATGCACTCCAGGTTACGATGGTCAGTCAGAATGAGAAAAGGGTGTTTAGCCCCCTCAAGCCAATGCCTCCACACCTTCAGGGCTTGAACCACCGCTAGCAGCTCCCTGTCCCCCACGTCATAATTGCGCTCCGCCGGACTGAGCTTCTTAGAATAGAAAGCACAGGGGCGGAGTTTGGGTGGCGTACCCGAGCGCTGAGACAATATAGCACCGATCCCCGCTTCGGACGCATATACCTCAACTTGGAACGCCAAAGAGGGATCCGGATGTGCCAGCACCGGAGCCGAGGTGAACAGGTCCTTCAGATGTCTAAACGCACTGTCCGCCTCAGCCGACCACTGCAGATGCACCGGGCCCCCCTTTAGCAGGGAGGTGATGGGAGCTGCTACCTGTCCAAAGCCCCGGATAAACCTCCGGTAGTAATTGGCAAAACCCAAGAACCGCTGCACCTCCTTTCACCGTGGTGGGAGTCTGCCAATTACGTACGGCTAAAACACGGTCAATCTCCATCTCCACCCCTGACGCGGACAACCGATGTCCCAGGAAGGAGATGGACTGCTGGAAGAACAGACGTTTCTCCGCCTTCGCATACAGGTCATGCTCCAACAGTCTACCAAGCACCCGACGCACCAGGGACACATGCTTCGCTCGTGTAGCGGAGTATATTAGAATGTCATCAATATACACCACTACACCCTGTCCATGCAAATCCCGGAAAATCTCGTCCACAAACGATTGGAAGACTGAAGGAGCATTCATTAAACCGTATGGCATGACGAGGTACTCATAGTGACCCGAGGTGGTACTGAATGCTGTCTTCCACTCATCTCCCTCCCTAATGCGCACCAGGTTGTACGCGCTCCTGAGATCCAATTTTGTGAAGAATCGCGCCCCGTGTAATGACTCCATCATACTAGCAATCAGAGGGAGAGGATAGCTGTATTTGATTGTAATCTGATTGAGACCACGGTAATCAATACACGGGCGTAAACCCCCATCCTTCTTCTTCACAAAAAAGAAACTTGAGGACGCAGGGGAAGTGGACGATCGTATGTATCCCTGTCTCAGAGATTCGGTGACGTATGTCTCCATAGCCGCCGTCTCCTCCTGAGACAGAGGATACACATGACTACGAGGAAGCGCAGCGCCTACCTGGAGGTCTATCGCACAATCCCCCTGTCGATGAGGTGGTAATTGAGTCGCCTTCTTTTTACAGAAGGCGAGTGCCAAATCGGCATACTCAGGAGGAATGTGCATGGTGGGAACTTGGTTCGGGCTTTCCACCGTCGTTGCCCCTACGGAAACACCTACACACCGCCCGACACACTGATCAGACCATCCCTTGAGAGCCCTCTGTTGCCATGAAATGTTGGGGTCATGAGATGTTAACCAGGGAAGCCCCAACACCACGGAAAACGCAGGAGAATCAATCAAATATAACCGTATAATCTCCTCATGGCCCTCCTGCGTCTTCATCTTAAGTGGCGCTGTGACCTCCCTAATCAATCCCGACCCCAAAGGGCAGCTATCTAGGGCATGGATGGGGAAGGGCACATCAACTGGTACAATAGGAATCCCTAATTTATACGTGAACCGGCGATCGATAAAATTCCCAGCTGCGCCTGAATCTACTAGCGCCTTATGCTGGGAGTGAGGAGAAACCTCGGGAAACACAACTTTAATACACATATGCGCAACAGAGAGCTCTGGGTGAGTTGGGTGCTTACTCACCTGGAATGACTCATCAGTGCGCTGCCTACTGCCTCGATTCCTAGGAGACCCTCCCCAGCACCGACCCGCAGTGTGTCCTCTGCGGCCACAGTTGGTGCAGGGGACGACCTCTCTCCTGGTCTCTCTCCTGGTCTCCCTAGCACCAGCACCCCCGAGCTCCATAGGGTTCGGCTTGGAAGTGCTGGGGGATGGAATGGACGGCCCGACTCCGGACGTCCGCGGGTAGCCAACAGGGTATCTAGGCGAATCGACATGTCCACCAGCTGATCGAAGCTTAGGTTGGTGTCCCTGCAGGCCAATTCCTGACGCACGTCCTCCCTCAGGCAACACCTGTAGTGGTCGATGATTGCCCTCTCATTCCATCCCGCGTTGGCAGTCAGAGTCCGGAAGTCCAGTGCGACCTCCTGCGCGCTCCTCTTCCCCTGTCTGAGGTGGAACAGACGCTCACCCGCCGCCTTCCCCTCTGGGGGATGATCGAATACCGTCCTGAAGCGGCGGGTGAACTCCGCATAGTTGACTGTAGCGGCGTCTATTCCCCCCCACTCGGCGTTGGCCCACTCCAGCGCCTTGACGGACAGACAGGAGATGAGGGTGGACACGCTCTCGTATCCCGAGGGCACCGGGTGAATGGTTGCCAGGTAGAGTTCCACTTGGAGCAGGAAACCCTGACACCCGGCCGCTGTGCCATCATAAGCCCTCGGGAGCGAGAGCCGAATCCCACTGGTCCCCGGAGGTGAAGCGATGGGTATAGCTGATGGTGGTGGTATCGTCGGAGGAGGTGTGGGCAAACCTCCTCTTTCCCATCGCTCCATGGTGTTCACCACCCGTTCCATGGCGGTGCCGAGAGCCTGGATCATGGCCGCTTGTTGTGCTACGCGCTCCTCCATTGATCCAGCTGGCACCGCCGCTCCTGCTGACTCCATGTCTAGGTGTGTGATTCTGTCACGCGACGTGTATGCGGTCAGCGAAGTCAAACGCAGGACACAGAGCGGCTGGCAACAGAAATATAGTGCAAAAACAACAAACCTCCAAACAGGGAGGAAAACACAATAACCCGTACACCAAAGCAACTGCCGGAATGACAAAGAACAATCACAAACAATAACCAATGAGAGACAGGGGGTAATATAGGGAATACAATACAACATAATGGGAAACAGGTGTAAACAATAAAGACCAAACAAGACAAACACCGAAACATCGATCGGCAGTAGCTAGTACTCCGGGGACGACGAACGCCGAAGCCTGCCCGAGCAAGGAGGAGGAGCAGCCTCGGCTGAATCCGTGACACATGTTTAGTGGAATACTTGTCAATGTGCAGTGAAGCTGTGCAGGGAAGATGTTTTCATCATTAGTCAAAGCTAATGATAACTGCTAAAAACGTCCAGGTCATCAAAGGCTACAAGTCCACACAGAAGCATAGTTCCCGAAGGGCAATTTGAGTTCAGCATAAAATAAGTTTAAAAATACAAAAAACATGAAACCATATAATACAACATACGTACGATGAGAAGTGCAAAGTGAATCTAAATGCAGCTGGTATTTACTTTTTTCAGCATGTATTGCTTGTGTTTCTCAGGTCATGGTTTGGATCCATGGTGGAGGATTCGCCATTGGCTCTGCATCAACATATGATGGTTCTGCTTTGGCTGCATCCCAGGATGTGGTTGTAGTGCTGATCCAATACCGTTTGGGTCTGCTGGGGTTCTTCAGGTAAGACTGGAACCATTACAGAACCACACACAATTTGAGATTTTATATAGCCTGGTTATTGTTTTTATTGCGTTACGATTTCCTTATTGTTTAATTTTTTTGTCTTACTTTTTAACTCTGCACTGTTGGGAATGTGCTCATAAGTAAGCATTTCACGTTGAAGTCTACACCTGTTGTATTCATGGTATGTGACCAATAAAATTGGGTTTGATTTGATTTGGAAGTACAGTATTTCACGACTAGATGTTATAGATGGTTCCTCACCCTGAAAGTAGTCTATGGGCCGGGAGAAACTGTAATCCATGGTTCCCTTTTCTTTAAACAGTCACAACAAACGTCAGCTAACTTTAGCCTCCGCTAGCTAGAAATCAATGGAAGTGATCAGGACAACCGTGCAATTTTCTAAATGTCATGGTCAAATCAACTTGATTATTTGGTTTGACATTCCGTAAAGGTGATTTGGCCTTTTTTTAACATTGCACGGTTGCCCCTATAAAAGTGTTGGATTCGTAACCTCACTCCTCAGCCTGAAATGTCTCGACTTGCGTTGCTGAACTGCTATTTTTGCCATGGCGCAACTGGCTAAGAACATACTGTAGTGTGATTTTGCGAGTCAGAGGATCCGAGTTCAAGTACTAGTAAGGACTTGTGAGGAAGGAAGCTATACTGTTAAAGGCCCAGTGCAGTCCAAATGTAGGGTTTTCTTGTGTTTTGTTTCATATTGAACAACAGCTGATGAAACTAACACTGTCAAAGTGTGATCAGTGTTATTTTCTGATAGTTACTGGTTGAAAATACAATCTACGCAGGACCTTCTACTCATCAGGCTTTGCATGGGTGGAGTTTTGGCTTGCCTGGTGACATGAAGTTTTAATAGACCAATAACAAAGAGAGTTCCAAAGCTCTCTGCCAATACAGCTAGTTTTCAGTTTTCCCCTCCCCACTCAGATCACTCCCAGACAGTCCTAGGAAAATGTTTTTTGGTGTTGTAGTGGTTGCTGCAAGATAGTGTATTTGGAGTCTGCTGTTTTGGGCTCATTTTACTGGTTTCACATCTCTTCCATACAGCACAGGTGACAAGTATGCCCCAGGGAACACGGGACTAATTGACCAGGTGGAAGCTTTGCGGTGGGTCAAGGAGCACATACACAACTTTGGGGGCGACTCCAAGTCGGTCACCATATTTGGAGAGTCTGCTGGTGGAGTGAGTGTATCATTACTGGTGAGGACACACACACACACACACACACACACACACACACACACACACACGCACAACATATATTCAGCAATTTATGTAAATTGTAAAATATAATGCACTAAACATTTTGTCTAATGTATTTATTGTATCACTTATATTACCAAATAATTTCGTATGAAAATATGTTTCCACAAATACAGTATAATGTATGTATACTATTGTGTGTGTAATATAGTTGTATGTATTGAGAGACATCACTATCTTGAATAGCTTTTGATTTTGTTTGGTTTTATCGCTAGTTTTCCTTAAAAACTAAAAAGAAAACCAAAAGGCCTTTCCCCAAGGGTAAAGAAAATAATTCAAAAACCACAAAAAAGCCCAAAACCAAGGTTTGAATTTGCCCTTCCCAAATTTGTTTGTTTGTTGGGGAAAAATTATAGAGTTGCGGGGACCAAAAAAGTTGGGTCCCCACCGCGGTATGGAGATTTAAATAAAAAGGACAAACGGGTTTTTAAAAAAATAAAATTTTGTAGTGCTTTAATTTTTGTCATAAAGGATGCACTTTTTCATGCAAATTTTTTTAGGTGTGTTAGGCTACTGAAAGTTTTTATGTTTTGTTTTGTTTTTTTAAACATTTACATTTAAGTTCCTTCAGCGACACTCTTATAAGAGGAAAAAAAAATTTTTTTTGGGGGCCATTCAACTTGGGAGCCAGTGGGAAAAACCACCTTTTTTTTTTTTTGGGGGGGGGGGGGGGGGGGGGGGTAGAAGATTACTGTTATACTTTTCCCCAGGTTTTCCCTTAAAGGGGAAAATTATTATTTGATTGATAATCATATTTTTTCGGGGCATTTATCGTAGTGAATAACTCCCACCCTTTTTTCCCCACGGGGACGTTATGCGGTCAGCAAAATTAAAACGCGGACACAGAGCGGCTGGCAACGTACTTTACAAACACAGTAAAAAGTGCAAAAACAAAAAAAACCCCCAAAACGGGGAGGAAACCAAAACCCCGTAAAACCAAAGCAACTCCCGGAATGACAAAGAAAAAAATTCACCCCAAAATAACCAATGAGGGGCCCGGGGGTAATATGGGGAAAATACAATACAAATAAGGGGAACAGGTGAACAATAAAGACCAAAAAAAAGACAAACACCGAAACAAAAATGGGCCCGGAGCTAGTACCCCGGGGACGACGAACGCCGAAGCCTGCCCGAGCAAGGGGAGGAGCACCCTTGGCTGAATCCGTGACAGTATCCCCCTCTTGACGCGGGGGCCCCAAACCCGGGAAGCCCGGAGGACGGAGGACGCGGACGGGGCGAGTCGGATTCCGGGTGGAAACCCCTCACAGGGGGGGATCTGGATGTCCCCCCTAGGGACCCAGCACCGTTCCCCCCCGGAACCGTACCCTCCCCCCCCACGGGGGAACCCCCTGCGGGCCCCCCCAATCCGACGCCAAAAATTTTTTCCCAAGAGGGAACGGACTGAGTACCCGGATCCCCCTCGTGTTAGTGGGGGGGGGGGAGGAGCCTCCGTACCTCATTCTCCGGGAGGGGCCCACCCTCCCAACCGGGAAATTAGGACAGACACTTTGGAACGGGGGGTTTAAATGCAGTAAAAAAAGGGGCCCATTTGTAACCGGAAACATACCTCATTAAATCTCCCCCCAGGCCTTTAAAGGGCCCCCCAAAAACTGCCGCCCCAGTTTCCCCCGGCGGGGCAGGCAAAGGGGGCAGGTTTGGGGGGTCGAGAGCCAGAACCCGATCAAACCGGTGCATAAAACCCGGAGCCTCACTGGGGGTGGCGATTGGCGCTCCCTTTTGCCGCCTGACACCCCGCTGCAGATGGACATGCGCAGCGTTCCATTTTTTCCTCCGGGCGGCTAAAACCACTCATCCCCCCGCAGGGTTTTTCGATCTGGCTCTGATCCCAGGGGGGGCCAGGACCGGCTGATAACCCGGAACACCCCTGAAAAAGGGCGGAAAAAATTTAGGGGAAAGGAGGGGCCCGGAGTGATTTTTGGGCTACTCTCCCCCAGGGGATAAACCCCGACCATTTCCCCCCTCCCGGGGCCCCTGGCAAAGGCCCTTTCAAAAAACCTACCCACACCCCGGGTTTTTACTCTTTTCCACCTGCCATTACTCCCCGGGTTTGAAAACCTGGGAAAGGCAAATTTCAGACCCCCAGACTTTCCCATAAACGCCCCCCAAACTTAGAGGTGAACGGGGGCCCCCGGGACAGACACTATTTTCCTCGGGCCCCCCGGGTGGGGGCCCGGGAAGGTGAGTAAACGGGGCGTCGGCGTTTGTGGGGCGGGTGGGAACCGGGCCCTGGGAATGAGACGGCGGGGCCTAAAAAAACCGTTTCCACAACGACCAAGATCGTAGTTTTTTCCCCTGGGGGGGGGGAAGGCCCTGAAAAAATCCACCGATAGGTAAACCCAACGGCCTTTTGGGGAAAAGGGTTGGGGGTTGAAATTTCCCCTCTGGGAAAGGTGGCAGGCCCCTTACCTGGGCGCACACCGAGCAGGGGGAAAAACGAAAACCCTCACGTCCCAGTAAAGGGGGCCACCATTTCTTCCCCTAAGGCAGTGCACTTTTCCCGGAAAAATACCGGGGATGACGGGAGGGTGACGTGTGACCCCAATATTCAGTGATCACGAACCCAAAAGGGGCACGTACTTCCGTCCCCCCGGACACTGGGGGGGAGTGGGGTTTTGGGAACTTAACGCCCCCCCCCTCGATGTTGCATCGACCTCCCACCCCCCCAGTGCCACCAAAAAGGGGACCCCGGAAGTATGGGGGGGGGTCAAGGGGACCTCTCCTTGTTTTCATATCGTCGGGACGGGGGCTCGCCTTAGCTTTTTGTGCCCCGGCTATAGGTGATTTTTAAAAAAATGGGAAAGAAAAAAAGGGCCCCCAAAGGCCGGCGAGGGTTCATTTTCTCCTCGCTGCCCGGTTTCATCCGGGTTTACGATGGCAGTCAAAAATGAAAAAAAGGGGGTTTTTAAACCCCCTAACCCCAATGCCTCCACACCTTCAGGGTTAAAACCAAACCGTTTGAGATCCCGTCCCCCACGTCAAAATTTTGCGCTCCCCCGGACGGGAGTTTTCTTAAAATAAAAACCCACAGGGGGGGGGGTTTGGGTGGCGTACCCGAGCGTTTGGAGCCCAATTTTCCACCGATCCCCCCCCGGGACGATAAAACCTCAACTTGGAACCCCCAAAGAGGGGGGCCGGATGGGGCCAGCCCCGGAGCCGAGGTGAACGGGGTCCTTAGTTTGTCCAAAACCCAAACTGCCCCCGCCTCAGCGCCCCACTGCAAAAGGGGCCGGGGCCCCCCTTTTAAGCAGGGAGGTGATAAAAAGTGCTACCTGTCCAAACCCCCGGAAAAAAACCTCCGGAAAGAAAATTGGGCAAAACAAAACCCCCGCTGCACCCCCCTTCACCGTGGGGGGGAGCCCCTGCCAATTACGTACGGCTAAAACCCCGGCCCAATCTCCATCTCCCCCCCCCCCTGACGGGGACAACCGATTTCCCGGGAAGGAAAAGGGACCCCGGGAAGAACAGCCTTTCTCCCCCTTCGCATACAGGTAAAGCCCCCAACAGTCTACCAAGCCCCGACCCCACCGGGGACACTGCTTGGCTCGTTTAGAAAAAATTTCAACCCCCCCTTTAAAAAAGGAAAAACTCGTCCCCAAAAGGGGGAAAAAGGGGAAAATTTTTTTTTTGGGGGGGGCCCCCCCTTTTTTTTTCCCCCTCCCCCCCCCCGGGTTTTTTGGGGGGGTTTTTTAAAAGGGGGGTTTTTTAAAAGAAAAAAAAGGGGGGGGGGGGGTTTTTAATTTTTTAACCCTTTTAAAAAGGGGCCAAAAAAACCCCCCCCCCTTTTTTTTAAAAAAAAAAAAGGGGGGGGTGGAGGTTTTTTCCCTTTTGGGTTGGGCCCGCCCCTTCCCCCCTTTCCCGGGGGGAAAAAAAAAAAAAACCCCCCCCCCCCGGGGGGTCCCCCTTTTTTGGGGGTTTGGGGGTTTTTTTTTTTTAAAAAAAACCCCCTTGGGGGGGGTTTTGGGGGGGTTTTTGGGGGCCCCCCCCCCCCCCCCGGAAACACCTACACCCCCCCCCAAAAAAAACCCCCCCCCCCCGGGCCCCTTTTTTAAAATTTTGGGGGGGGGTTTTGGGGCCCCCAAAACCCCCGGGAAAAAGGAAAAAAAATCAAAATAATTTTTCCCCCCCCCTCCCCTTTTTTCTTTTTTCCCCCCCCCCCCCCCCCCCCGGGGGGTTTTTCGGGTTGGAAAAAGGAAAAAAAAAAAATTTTTTTTTTCCCCCTAAAAAAACCCCCCCCCCCTTTAACCCCAAAAGGGGGGGGGGGGGAAAAAAAAACCCCCCCAAAAAAAAACCAAAAAGGGGGGGTTTTTGGGTTTTTCCCCCCCGGGGTTTTGGGGGGGGGGGCCCCCCCCCCGGGGGACCCTCCCCCCCGCCCCCCCTTTTTTCCCCCCAAAGGGTTTTGGGGGGGCCCCCCTTTCTTCCCCCTTTCCCCCCCCCCCCCCCCAAAAAACCCCCCCGGGGGGGGCCCCCCCCCCCCCGGCCCGGGGGGCCCCCCGGGAAAAGGGGGAAAAGGGGGGGTTAAAAGGGGGGGGGCCTTTTTTCCCCCCGGGGGGGGGGCCCCCGGGGGCCCCCTTTTGGGGGGGGGCCCCCCCCCCCCGGGGGGGGCCGTCCCCCTGGCCCCCCCCCCCCCCCCCCCCCCCCCCTTTTTTGGGGGGGGGGGGGGGGCCCCCCCCCCCCCCCCAACCCCCCCCGGGGCCCCCCCCCCCCCCGGGGGAAAAAAAGGGGGGGGGCCCCCCGGGGGGAAAAACCCCCAGGGGGATTGGTTTTACTTTGGGGGGCCCCCCCCCCTTGGGCCCCCCCTTTCCCCCCCAAACCCCCGGGGGGCCCCAAAACCCCCCCCCCGGGGGGGGGGGGGGGGGGTTTTTTTTTTTAAAAAAACCCCCCCCCGGGGGGTTTTGGGGCCCCCCCCCCCCCCCCCAAAAAAGGGGGGGGGGGGTTTTTTTGGGGGGGTTTTTTTTTTTTCCCTTTCCCCTTTTTCCCCCCCCTTGGGGCCCTTTTTTTTTTTTTTTTTTTTTTTTTTGGCCCGGGGGGTTTTTTTTTTTCCGGGGGGGCCCCGGCAAAAAATTTTTTTCCCTTTAAAAAAAAATTTCCCCCAAAAAAAAAAAAAAAAAACCAAACCCCCCGGAAAAAATAAAAAAAACCCAAAAACCCAAAAAAAGAAATTTTTCCCCCCAAAAAAAGGGGGGAAAAAAAATTCAAAAAAAGGGAAAAAGGGAAAAAAAAAAAAAAATTTGAAAAAAAAAACCCCCAAAAAATTTTTTTTTTTTTTTTGGGGGAGGGGCCCCCTTTTTTCCCCCCCTTTTTTTTTGGGGGAAAAAAGGGGGGGCCGGGGTTTTTTTTTTTACCGTTTTTTAAAAAAAAAAATTTAAAACCTTCCCCGGGTTTTTTTTGGGGGAAAAAAAAAAAAGGTTTTTTAAATTTTTAAAAAAATTTTTTTTAAAAAAAAACCAAATTTTTCCCAAAAAAAAACCCCTTTTTTTCCCCCCCCCCAAATTTTTTTGTTTAAAAAATTTTTTTTTTAAAAAAAAAATTTTTTTGGGGGGAATTAAAATTTTTTTTGTTTTCCTTTTTTTTTTTTTTTTTTTTCCCTTTTTTTTTTTTTTCCCTTTTCCCCCCCCTTTTTAAAAAGGCCCTTTTTTTTCCCCTTTTTTTTTTTTTTTTTTTTTTTTTTTTTCCCTTTTTTTTCCCTTTGGGTTTTTCCCCCCGGGGGGGGTTTTTTTTTTTTTTGGGAAAAAAATTTTTTTTTAAAAAAAAATTTTTTTTAAAATTTTTTTTTTTTTCCCCCCCCCCGGGTTTTTCCGGGAAAATTTTTTTTTTTTTTTTTTTAAAAAAAAAACCCCTTTTTTTTTTAAAACCTTTAAGTGAAAAAAATTTTTTTTTTAAAAAATTTTTAAAAAATTTTTTTTTTTTGGAAAAATTTTTTTTGGGGGGGGTTTTTTCTTTTTTTCCCCCCGGGGTTTGGGCCTTTTTTTTCCCCCCGGGGTTTTTTTTTTTTTTTTCCCCCAAAACCCCAAATTTTTTTGGGTTTTGGGGGAAACCAAAATTTGGGGGGGGGGAAAAAATTTTTTTAAAAATTTTGGGGTTTTTTTTTTTTAAAAAAAATTTTTTAAAAAAACCCCTTTTTTTTTTTTAAAATTTTTTTTTTCAGGGCTTAGCAAGGGGGATTGATTTTTACGCCGGGGTAAAAACCCCGTCTGACGCGGGTCAGGAGCTTTTTATCAGGGCCCCTTCCCCGCCAGGACTTTCACACTTTGCAATAGCCCTCCTCTAAAGGGTATCTATCCCCGTGGACAAAAGCAAGCCCCATCGGGTTCCTTGGCACTGAAGTGCAAACCACCATACATCACCCGGGGTCCGAAAAAAGCCCCCAATAAACCCCCCCCAACACCTCACCCCCAAACCCAGTCCCTACCTTACGGAAACCGGGCAGGTGAAACAAAACTTTAGGTAAAAACAAAAAACCATGTTTTTATCCTGAATCAAAATTAAAATACATTGGCTAGCTACACCTGCAACAGAAAGTCGCATGCATTTTGTGTGGGTCAAAAAAGAGATATAAAAAATAAAAATTTTAAAAAAAAAGCAATAAAACCAAAACATAAAAAAAAACGACAAAAAAACCAGCATTTTAAAACCTTTGCTTTTCCCCTGTAGGAGATAACAAAAACATGGCCTGAAATGTCCATGTGTGACGGGAATAGGTTTGATGTGGAAGGATTGCTCATAGACTATAACTGTTTATGGCTTAGAAGGTATTCAAGTTTATGAAAAACCAAACCCCCCCTTCATCTGGGGAAATATTTTGTGCCACTTTTTTCTAGAGGGTTCTCTTTTGTCTGTCTTGTTGAATTTTTTTCTCCTTTTTTTCAATCTTGTCTTTTTAAAGAATCAAAGCTATATTTTGGGGGTTGGACTGTTGAGGGGCTTTTTGTCCAAATCCAAGGGAGTTTTCCCCAAAACCCATGAACACAGGTTCCGTTATGAGGGTGTAAATGCAACGATTTGGGGTTTTTAGAAAAAGGGGTCGTTTTGAAAGACGTTTGAATTTGTTTCAACCCAAAATGCTAAAGTTAGGCTAAATAAAGTGGTCTCTCTCATTTTTCGTAAACTTTTTGAGCCAAAGGTGTTGGAAAAGTGATTTTGAGTGACACAGAAAAAGTCATTAGTTAACAAATAGCCTAAATAATAGCTTTAAAATTAAAAGTGAAAGCATTAAATTTAATCCTAAGGTGAGGATGGATATAAACCTGTGACATCCCACTTTGTGCCGCCAAACCTGAACAAAAATTAAACGCAAAACGATAAGGTGTTTGGGCCCCCGTTTCATTAGGAAAAAAAATATCCAGACTTTTCTATAACCAAAAAATTTCTTTTCTCAAATTTTGGCACAAATTTTTTTATTACATCCCGTTATGCGCTTTCCTTGCCAGATAATCCATCCCCTGACAGGTTGAAATTCAAGAAGGTTAAAAACAGATTATTACACAGGTGCACCTTTCGCTGGGCTCAAAAAAAGCCACTTAAAAATTGCAGTTTTGTCACCAACACAATGCCAATGTCTCTTTTTTTAGGAGCATCAATGGCAGCTGACTGCGGAATATTACCCGAGCGTTTTCCAGAATTTTAAGTTTAATTTTTTACGTCCAACGGCCTCACAAACCCCGACCCCGAAACCCCGCCCCCTGGACTCGATATCCCGGGTTTTTCACCGCGGGTCGCGAACCACACCCGAACGATGAAAATGGGGTTTTCCCAAAAACCCAAAAATTCCCCCAAAATGTCAGAAATCTCCAGGGAACTATCGGCGTCTCTCGTCCTCACAGGTTCTTGACCTAAAGGGTTTCGGCGTCAATCCGACTTCGGGAAAAAAGTCCCTTCTGGGGCCCTGGCAAAATGGGGAAAATGTGCTCCTCACGGAAATCCCCGTTTAATGACAGGCAGATGGGATGGCGTTGTGGGGAGCAGTTTGGAGTCAAAAATTGTGAACAAGTGCCCCGGTGGCGGGGGGTTATGGTATGGGAGGATAAAAACGGGAAAAGAACACAATTGGTCTGGACAAAAAGATGCATATCTGTTTTCCCAGTGAAAAAACCAGATTGGGCTAAGAAATTTTTTTAAAAATTTACGATTTCCTATATAACTGTAACTCGTCAAAACTTTGAAATTTGTTCCCTGTTTTCTTTAATTTTTTTTCAGTGCTTTTTACTCCGGGTTTAGACACTCGCTTGGCACCCCCATTTTCCCCAAATTTTCCATTTACACCATTGCATATTTAGCACAAGGTATGACCCTATTAAGATCAACTGGCCATTGAATCGGATATTTTCAGTGGCGCAAAGGGTTTTACGTTTCAAGCATGGTCACAGTGTTCGCGAGGAGAGGCCCCAGTTTTTAAGGCAAGTTTAGGGAGGACCCAAAACTCTAAGCAGAACATGAAGTTAGGTTTCCCCCCATGATTAAAATTCCCCTTTAACATACTATTGCCAAAATGAGTGAATTTAATATAATGTAGGCTTTAATACTCCTCTTTAAATAGTGAAAAGACTGGATTTTAGACAAGTAATAATGTGTTTTCTTCCCATAGTTATTTGCTCCTCCAGGTTGGGAGAAATGGAGTGGACCGGGTGAAGGTCATGCCCATTATGGCCATGTTCTACCCTGATGTGAGGCAAAAGCACACCATCACTCAGATGATATTGTCTAACTACTGATTACAATACATGCTGTGGCTACACTGAATGGTTGTTGTCTCCTTCAGCCCAAGGATCAGTGGATAACTGAGCTGATAGCAGATGAATACCTGGGAACCTCTGGAAATCGGGTGAAAAACCGTGATGGGTTCACTGAGCTGGTTGGTGACATTATGTTTACCATTCCTGCCCTTCAAACAGCAAACTTCCACAGAGGTAGAGCACTATTTTAGGGCCAATAGAGTTCAGCATTAGGACTGGTATATCAGACACTAGACCTACTTCAGAGGTTTTCTCACAAAGCAATCACATTCTGAGGTCTTTGTACAGAATTCAAGTTTATTTCCAGAGAGGCCAATTCACCTTAATGTTACTGTCTTATCCCACACAACAGATGCAGGTGTGCCTGTGTACCTGTATGAGTTCCAGCAAACTCCCAGCATGCTTAAGAAGATGAGGCCGAGTTTTGTTGGGTCTGACCACGGAGATGAGCTTATGTTTGTTTTTGGATACTGCTTCACATCACATGTTATAATGGATGGTAAAGGAAATAAACCTCACCTGAATCTATCGTACTACATGTCATCAATCCAGTTCCCCAACTTCTCCATAAATACTGTATATCATACAAGCACTCACCACCAACTACTCACTCTTTTTCTCAGGTTGTACAGAGGAAGATGAACAACTAAGCAGAATCATGATGAGTTACTGGGGTAACTTTGCTCGTACAGGGTAAGGAACTGTTCTTCATCAGTTTTCCAGAACATACAGTGGCGGTATAAGTAGAAATGTAAGGAAAACAATTGGGTCTCCACACATTGTTATTGGATTTTCAACATTGCAGAACCAATTTAGTTTTTTGAAACTTCAGTTTATAATTTAAATGTAGAAAAGAAGGACTCAATTATTAGCATCCAATAATACTTGGTTATGCAGCCTTTGGCCAAGATTACTGCTGACAAACACAGTGGCGTCAGTTCAGCTAAACCTGGGTATGGCAAAGTAGGGTGTGGGGGAAGTTGTAGACCACTGACTGCATTTCTACACAATTTAAAAACTGTAAAATGCTATTTGGAGAAAAGCAAAAGCAAACAATGACCGCAGTGTAACGTATACTCAGGGAGTGAGGAAACAGGTGCAGAAGGTGAGTTTAATAATAAGAAACATGACAATAATCAAAACAGGAGTAGCATACTGAACGTAAACAAAACCAATACTGCCTGAAGACTGAGGCTACTGAGGGCTAAATAAAGGGAGAGTAAACAGGGTGATGATGAAGTCCAGGTGTGTGTAAGATTTCACCCTAAAATTGCATCTTTCTAATAAAGGATTGCATGCATCTGTCATCGCATTTGCAGACTAATGTAAGATAGGCTACTATACCTAATGTGATGAGTAGATTGCATAGTCATAATTTAGGATGATTAATATAACTCAATCACAGTAAGTAAAACAGACATTTCTGAATGCATGTAGTGTATGTATGTACAGTGGGGGAAAAAAGTATTTAGTCAGCCACCAATTGTGCAAGTTCTCCCACTTAAAAAGATGAGAGAGGCCTGTAATTTTCATCATAGGTACACGTCAACTATGACAGACAAATTGAGAAAAAAAAATCCAGAAAATCACATTGTAGGATTTTTAATGAATGTATTTGCAAATTATGGTGGAAAATAAGTATTTGGTCACCTACAAACAAGCAACATTTCTGGCTCTCACAGACCTGTAACTTCTTCTTTAAGAGGATCCTCTGTCCTCCACTCGTTACCTGTATTAATGGCACCTGTTTGAACTTGTTATCAGTATAAAAGACACCTGTCCACAACCTCAAACAGTCACACTCCAAACTCCACTATGGCCAAGACCAAAGAGCTGTCAAAGGACACCAGAAACAAAATTGTAGACCTGCACCAGGCTGGGAAGACTGAATCTGCAATAGGTAAGCAGCTTGGTTTGAAGAAATCAACTGTGGGAGCAATTATTAGGAAATGGAAGACATACAAGACCACTGATAATCTCCCTCGATCTGGGGCTCCACGCAAGATCTCACCCCGTGGGGTCAAAATGATCACAAGAACGGTGAGCAAAAATCCCAGAACCACACGGGGGGACCTATTGAAAACCTGCATAGAGCTGGGACCAAAGTAACAAAGCCTACCATCAGTAACACACTACGCCGCCAGGGACTCAAATCCTGCAGTGCCAGACGTGTCCCCCTGCTTAAGCCAGTACATGTCCAGGCCCGTCTGAAGTTTGCTAGAGTGTATTTGGATGATCCAGAAGAGGATTGGGAGAATGTCATATGGTCAGATGAAACCAAAATAGAACTTTTTGGTAAAAACTCAACTCGTCGTGTTTGGAGGACAAAGAATGCTGAGTTGCATCCAAAGAACACCATTCCTACTGTGAAGCATGGGGGTGGAAACATCATGCTTTGGGGCTGTTTTTTCTGCAAAGGGACCAGGACGACTGTTCCGTGTAAAGGAAAGAATGAATGGGGCCATGTATCGTGAGATTTTGAGTGAAAACCTCCTTCCATCAGCAAGGGCATTGAAGATGAAACGTGGCTGGGTCTTTCAGCATGACAATGATCCCAAACACACCGCCCGGGCAACGAAGGAGTGGCTTTGTAAGAAGCATTTCAAGGTCCTGGAGTGGCCTAGCCAGTCTCCAGATCTCAACCCCATAGAAAATCTTTGGAGGGAGTTGAAAGTCCGTGTTGCCCAGCGACAGCCCCAAAACATCACTGCTCTAGAGGAGAGCTGCATGGAGGAATGGGCCAAAATACCAGCAACAGTGTGTGAAAACCTTGTGAAGACTTACAGAAAACGTTTGACCTGTGTCATTGCCAACAAAGGGTATATCAAAGTATTGAGAAACTTTTATTATTGACCAAATACTTATTTTCCACCATAATTAGCAAATAAATTCATTAAAAATCCTACAATGTGATTTTCTGGATTTCTTTTGTCTCATTTTGTCTGTCATCGTTGACGTGTACCTATGATGAAAATTACAGGCCTCTCTCATCTTTTTAAGTGGGAGAACTTGCACAATTGGTGGCTGACTAAAAAAGTTTTTTTCCCCACTGTATGTACTGACATGTATGTGTAACTGATAGATGCGCGTGCGCACACACACACACTACATGTTAATGTTTTTAAATGTATATAAATTGCAATGTCTTTTGTGTGTAATGTCTTTTTTGTTATGTGTCGGACCCCAGTAAGACTATCTGTCGCCATTGGCGTCGGCTAATGGGGATCCTAATAAATCAAATAAAATGCCTGTGCGAGTAGTGGCATAGAGTAGGCCTAATCAGGGGTGTCATGCACCCCAAAAATCTGAGGTGGCACAAAGTATGTGAGGATGGCTGGGGGGGTGGTCCGGAGGGGGGCTTGGAGAATTTGGACAATTTAGCATTTTTCAAACACCTGATGCACCCTTTTCCTGCAATCTAGAGCCATAATCATTATGCTTAATTCTATGACAAAAAATATATAATTTTTCAAGCTGTTGATTGTGGCATGTGGAATGTTGTCCCACTCCTCTTCAATGGCTGTGAGAACATGCTGGATATTGGCGGGAACTGGAAAACGCTGTCGTACACATCGATCCAGAGCATACCAAACATGCTCAATGGGTGACATGTCTGGTGAGTATGCAGGCCATGGAAGAAACTGGGACATTTTCAGTTTCCAAGAATTCAGTACAGATCCTTGCGACATGGGGCTGTGCATTATCATGTTAAAACATAAGGTGATGGCACGACAATGGGCCTCAGGATCTCGTCACGGTATCTCTGTGCATTCAAATTGCCATCGATAAAATGCAATTGTGTTCGTTGTCCATAGCTTATGCCTGCCCATACCAAATCCCCACCGCCACTATAGGGCACTCTGTTCACAACATTGACATCAGCAAACCGCTTGCCCACACGACACCATACATGTGGTCTGCGGTTGTGAGGCCGGTTGGACGTACTGCCAAATGATCTAAAACGACATTGGAGGCGGCTTATGGTAGAAATTAACATTACATTCTCTGGCCACAGCTCTGGTGGACATTCCTGCAGTCAGCATTCCAATTGCACGCTCCCTCAAAACTTGAGACATCTGTGGCATTGTGTTATGTGGCAAAACTGCACATTTTAGAGTGGCCTTTTATTGTCCCCAGCACAAGGAGCACCTGTGTAATGATCACGCTGTTTAATCAGCTTATTGATATGCCACACCTGTTAGTTGGATGGATTATCTTGGCAAAGGAGAAATGCTCACTAACAGGAATGTAAACAAATTTGTGTACCAAATTTGAGAGAAATAAGCTTTTTGTGCGTATGGAACATTTCTGGGATTTTTACATGTTGCATTTATATTTTTGTTCAGTATAAATATGCTTCTCTGCATCTCTGCTAAAATCTGGGTAAAAGATTGAAAGGAATGTGAGCGTTATTTAGTACATTTAGTAATTGCTTGCTTTTCTAAAGTCCACCAACCTTGCCAGCAGGCATGCCAACTAAGATTGTTAGACATGCTAGCTACTCTAACTTAATTGATAGCCTGAAATGGCTTCTTGGTAGTTAGTTATGAGGTTGGGAGATTGGGAACCTAACTTGGCTAGCTAAAGCCAACTTGTAGTATTACAAACAAAACACTTTTATTTTATTTTTACAGGACACGTTTAAGGGACATGTGGGCATGATGCCTCTGGGCCTAAAAATCTGATATGTTTGTTCTCCTTTCTTTGCACGAGAAATGTTTACTTTTATAAACACATTTCATGCAATTCTACTACACTTTATATGACTGGAGGCGTGAGAAACATCCCCTAGAGTCGAAGTCTGCATCCTCGTGGAAATTAAATTAGCATAATAATGAAAATCTCCATAAATTTGCATGGGCTCAATCCACTGCATCCGCCGATGTCAGCCTTCAGCATCTGCGATGGTGTTTTTTGTGTTCTACGGGAGTTGAGAATTTTGGTAACTAGAGACAGATTACAGTATTTTCTTTGTCTTCTCTTTTCAGTGACAGCCATTTGCTTTCTAAACTATGTTTTTATTACGATTTTATTTTAAATATTGCGATATCCCTAGGTATATTTAACTGCTTTTCCCTGACCGCTGCAATTCAACAATGAGCTATTTATTTGGTAGGCTATTTGCTGCACGCTGCCCAAATTGCACACTTAAAAACAATCCACAGCTAATATTTTATTTTGAATGATTTTATTTATGTATAGGCACGAGTAATTATATAGCAAATTTTGGCTAAATTAATTTAATTTACTTTCAATTGACTTTTGGACGCGCAGCCTATGCCGACATCAATGTGAAAGTAACGGTGCATAAAACAGCTGGCGGGAGGATTACAAGGCCGAGTTCAAATTCCTTAAGCAATCGGCGCACTGCCTAAACTGCTGACCGGCGAAGCAAACTGTCTGGCACTGTCTCTAATCTCTGCTTTCTTAAAGTGAGAGAAAGGCACACAGCTGGCAGCTTCTCTCCGAGTGATTCTCCGCATTGTCCTAAATTCAGCTAAACAATAGGTTAAAAAAACGTTGCATTTTAATCGGGATTAGAATGATTTTAGGCTACTTTTTTGTAGCCTACTTTGACATTTTTGGTCTTGATCTAGGGCAACAGCCATACCCTGCCATGGTGGACATTTATATATTTCTTAATTCCATTCTTTTACTTTTTAGATTCCTGTGTATTGTTGTGTATTGTTAGATATTACTGCACTGTTGGAGCTAGGAATACAAGCATTTCGCTACCCCAGCAATACAATCTGCTAAATATGTTTACATCACCAATAACATTTGATTTGACCTTTCTAATGGAAGTTTGGCCTACTCTTCAGCTGCATACTGCACCAGGTGTTTCAGGGAGGTTTGTTAATGCCACCAGGTGGCACCAGGGAGGTTTGATAATGCTGTTGTGTTGCTTTGCTGCCTCTGGTACTGGGGGCCTTGAACGTGTGCAAGGCATCATGAAATCAGCAGATTATCAAGGTGTATTGGAGTCCAATGTTCAACCCAGTGTCCACAAAACTGGGACTCGGTTAAAAGTTGTGGGTCTTCCAGCAGGACAAGGACCCCAGACATTTAAAAAGGTATCCAGGAATGGTTCAAGAAGAAACGCTAGACTGTTCAAATCAAATCAAATCAAATGTTATTGGCCACATGCGCCGAATACAACAGGTGTAGACATTACAGTGAAATGCTTACTTACAGCCCTTAACCAACAATGCATGTATTTTTAATAAAAAAAGTAAAATAAAACAACAAAAAAGTGTTGAGAAAAAAAGAGCAGAAGTTAAATAAAATAACAGTAGGGAGGCTATATATACAGGGGGGGTACCGGTGCAGAGTCAATATGCGGGGGCACCGGTTAGTTGAGGTAGTTGAGGTAATATGTACATTTAGGTAGAGTTAAAGTGACTATGCATAAATAATTAACAGAGTAGCAGCAGCGTAAAAAGATGGGGTGGGGGTGGGGGGGGGGGGGCAGTGCAAATAGTTCGGGTAGCCATGATTAGCTGTTCAGGAGTCTTATGGCTTGGGGGGTAGAAGCAGTTGAGAAGTCTTTTGGGCCTAGACTTGGCACTCCGGTACCGCTTGCCGTGCGGTAGCAGAGAGAACAGTCTATGACTAGGGTGGCTGGAATCTTTGACAATTTTGAGGGCCTTCCTCTGACACCGCCTGGTATAGAGGTCCTGGATGGCAGGAAGCTTGGCCCCAGTGATGTACTGGGCCGTACGCACTACCCTCTGTAGTGCCTTGCGGTTGGAGGCCGAGCAGTTGCCATACCAGGCGGTGATGCAACCAGTTACGATGCTCTCGATGGTGCAGCTGTATAATTTTTTGAGGATCTGTGGACCCATGCCAAATCTTTTCAGTCTCCTGAGGGGGAATAGGCTTTGTCGTGCCCTCTTCACGACTGTCTTGGTGTGTTTGGACCATGATAGTTCGTTGGTGATGTGGACACCAAGGAACTTGAAGCTCTCAACCTGTTCCACTACAGCCCCGTCGATGAAAATTGGGGTGTGCTCAGTCCTCTTTTTTTTCCTGTAGTCCACAATCATCTCCTTTGTCTTGGTCACGTTGAGGGAGAGGTTGTTATCCTGGCACCACACGGCCAGGTCTCTGACCTCCTCCCTATAGGCTGTCTCATCGTTGTCGGTGATCAGGCCTACCACTGTTGTGTCGTCGGCAAACTTAATGATGGTGTTGGAATCGTGCCTGGCCATGCAGTCATGGGTAAACAGGGAGTACAGGAGGGGACTGAGCACGCACCCCTGAGGGGCCCCCGTGTTGAGGATCAGTGTGGCAGATGTGTTGTTACCTACCCTTACCACCTGGGGGCGGCCCGTCAGGAAGTCCAGGATCCAGTTGCAGAGGGAGGTGTTTAGTCCCAGGATCCTTAGCTTAGTGATGAGCTTTGAGGGTACTATGGTGTTGAATGCTGAGCTGTAGTCAATGAATAGCATTCTCACGTAGGTGTTCCTGGTATTACAGATTCAGTCAGGGACATGTTGAAAATGTCAGTGAAGACACTTGCCAGTTGGTCAGCACATGCTCGGAGTACACGTCCTGGTAATCCGTCTGGCCCTGCGGCCTTGTGAATGTTGACCTGCTTAAAAGTCTTACTCACATTGGCTACGGAGAGCGTGATTACATAGTCATCCGGAACAGCTGGTGCTCTCATGCATGCTTCAGTGTTGCTTGCCTCGAAGCGAGCATAGAAGTGGTTTAGCTCGTCTGGAAGTCTTGTGTCACTGGGCAGCTCGCAGCTGTGCTTCCCTTTGTAGTCTGTAATAGTTTTCAAGCCCTGCCACATCCGACGAGTGTCAGAGCCGGTGTAGTACGATTAGTCCTGTAATGACTCTTTGCCTGTTTGATGGTTCGTCGGAGGGCATAGCGGGATTTCTTATAAGCATCCGGGTTAGAGTCCTGCTCCTTGAAAGCGGCAGCTCTACCCTTTAGCTCAGTGCGGATGTTGCCTGTAATCCATGGCTTCTGGTTGGGGTATGTACGTACGGTCACTGTGGGGACGACGTCATCGATGCACTTATTGATGAAGCCAGTGACTGATGTGGTGTACTCCTCAGTGCTATCTGAAGAATCCCGGAACATGTTCCAGTCTGTGCTAGCAAAACAGTCCTGTAGCTTAGCATCTGCGTCATGTTCTGGAATGGCCAGCGCTGAGTCCAGATTTGAATCCCATCGAAAACCTATGGCGAGATCTGAAAACATAAGTTGGTGGAGGGTACCCCTGAAACATTGCAGAATTGGAGCAGTTTGCAGCTGAAGAATGGGCCAAACTTCCATTAGAAAGGTGCAGCAAGCTCATTGATAGCTACAAGAAGTGTTTGTCAGCAGTTATCCTGGCCTAAGGCTGAGCAACCAAATATTAGCTCTTCTTTCTTTTCTAAATGAAAATTGTAAACTTAAGTTTCAAAAAACAAAATTGATTCTACAATGTTAAAAATCCAATAGCAATGTGTAGAGACCAAATGTTTTTTGTTGTTGTTGTTTTTTTCAACTTATTTTAGAAGAAATAGGGAATTATTTAAGAAAAGTGTAAGGGTGCCAATATATATTTGCCACCACTGTATCTGTAGAACAAAATTAATATGTAGGAACAGAGTATTGTTTACAATTGTGTGTGTGTGTGTGTTTGTGTGTGTGTGTGTGTGTGTGTAGGTCTCCTAACGGGGCTGGCCTGGTTCAGTGGCCACAGTACGGACCAGAAGGAGATTACCTGGGGATTGGGCTGGAGCAGGTACCTGGTCAACACCTGAAGAGGGACCGCTTCACCTTCCTGACACAGACTGTTCCTGAGAAACTGCATTTGGGTCGAGAGAAGATGGAGCAAAGTGATCTGTAGGGTGCCATTATTTTATTTATGGTTCATTTATATCAGGGAGACATGGGACGACTGAGTAACATTCCTTCTTTGTGAATTAGAGTTTTGAGCAGTCTGACTTTGCGTCGGATGCCATTTCATCCAATTCTTCCTCTTCATCTGATTCGTAATCGCACCGATATAATTTATGTGTGGGGAAAAACTTCAAGGTGTCAAGAGCTGGGGAATTTGTTTCGGACACGGGTGTACTCCTTTTAGTCCCTCTTATTACTCCTGATCCAAACAGATACAATTTCTATTACTGGAATGAATAACTTGATTGACGAAATTCCTTGAGTTAAAACAGTGACTACTTGACTTACTTGACTTAATCCTCTTGGTCTCATTAGGATCTTAGGGCGTCCACCAGGGCTCTTAAGCCTACTCTTTTCAACCGAAGGGCTTTTTTTCTTGTGGAGTGGAGCATCTCTAGTTGTTTTATGGCCTTCCCTGCTTTCTCTGTCCTTGTAATTGCAGCCCAATTCCTGCTTTGTTATATTTGTTGTGTGTTTTCTGAATGTGAATGTATTTGCCTCTGTCCTTGCCTCCGACCTTCAGTCGTTTTCCTTATTCAGAGTTCTTGTAAAGCAATGTCAACTGTGGATTTCTCCGCAGGCCAAAAACAGGGCCGGTGGTCCAGACCAAACTGGGGGGTCTGAGAGGGCAGTATGTGAGTGTAAAGGGGAAGGAGATGGTGGTGCAGGCCTACCTGGGCGTGCCGTTTGCCAAACCACCTGTTGGCCCCCTGAGATTGACCCCGCCTCAGCCTGTGGAGGGATGGGAGAGAGTGAGGGACGCCACCCAGCAGCCTCTCATGTAAGATCAGCAAGGTCATGAACAAACAATTCATCTCAAGGAAGTTCTTGGTTGGTTGAATAAGGGTTAGATCAACAATCAGTAAATAATTAGATAAATCAACAAATTAAGCACAGTCAATGTACACAGTGAGGCAAGCAGAATGTGCAAAGCACTACCTGGCTCACACAATGTGCACAAAGAGACCTGGTGAAACTTGGACATTAAAAGGTGTTTCATGTTTTACAGGTGTCTTCAAGACGGACAGCTCACAGTAGACCTTGCGTCCAATTGGTCAATCAAAGTGGAAATCCCAGCAGTGTCAGAAGACTGTCTTTATCTCAACATATACACCCCGGCTAAACCTGCTGAGAATACCAAGCTTCCTGTAAGTTTAATAGCAGACACGGCCTCCCGAGTGGCACAGCAGTCTAAGGCACTGCATCGCAGTGCTACAGGCGTCACTACAGATCTGGGTTCGATCCCGGGCTGTGTCGCAGCCGACTGTGACCGGGAGACCCATGAGGCAGCCTACAATTGGCCCTGCGTTGTCTGGGTTAGGAGAAGGTTTGGCTGGCTGGAATGTCCTTGTCCCATTGTGCTCTAGCGACTCCTTGTGGCGGTCGGGCGCATGCACGCTGACTTCGGTTGCCAGCTGTACAGTGTTTCCTCTGACCCATTGGTGCGTCTGGCTTCCGGGTTAAGTGAGTAGTGTGTCAAGAAGCAGTGCGGCTTGGTGGGGTCGTGTTTCGGAGGACGCATGGCTCTCGTCCATCGCCTCTCCCAAGTCAGTACGGGAGTTGCAGCGATGGGACAAGACTGTTACTACCAATATAATGAAAAATAGGTAAAAAGTACCAAATAATAAAGTTTAATAGCAGACACACACAGATTATAACGTTGTGTTATTGAGTCTTGGTCCAGGGGACCCAAAGAGGTACACAATTTTGTTCTAGCCAAGCACTAACACACTGGATTCAACTAGGCCAGAGATGGGCAACTTTGATGGGGCTGGGGGCCACAAAAAATCAGAACTCATCATGAGGGGCCGCAGTGGCTCGGGGGTCTGCATACCCTCATCCATACATTTACATTTACATTTAAGTCATTTAGCAGACGCTCTTATCCAGAGCGACTTACAGTTAGTGCATACATTACTTTTTATTTATTTATTTTTTTCATACCCCCCGTGGGAATCGAACCCACAACCCTGGCGTTGCAATCGCCATGCTCTACAAACTGATCCAGTGCTAGCGTTTTGGGGCCCTAAGCGAAAGTTTGTTGGGGGGCCCCCTCCATCTTGCTTAGCAAAATATTTTAGCGGCCCCCCTCTTGACAGCGGAGAGAAGATTTAGCAATTTTATAACTAATTTCATGCAATTCAACTCATTTTGCCATGAGGCGGAGAGAAAAATTAGCAGTTATACAGCTAATTTCCTTCAATTCTACACACTTTGCCATAGGGTGGAGAGAAATGTTTGTAGTTTTGAATATGCTATCTGAGTGAGGGTGACTAACAAAATCAATGGGGGCAACCCGGTTGGTAATTCAACCATGATTGCTACAAGTTTAGATAGCTGACATGGGCTAATTGATTGACTGTCAGTCAATCAATCAAATGTATTTATAAAGCCCTTTTTTACATCAGCAGATGTCACAAAGTGCTTATACAGAAACCCAGCCTAAAACCCCCAAAAGCAAGCAATGCAGATGTAGAAGTCAGTGACTGACCTAACAAGAGAAAAACTGCTGATGCACAACAGAATTTCGAAATTGCACCTTGTGTATTCTGCTATTCTAACTCTTAACAGTAAGTTTAGACCAGACTGAGTTCCTAAAAAAACAAAAACAAATTGGTTTGTTTTTGGAAATTGATGCGCAGGCCTACAAAAGGTAGGCCACTAATCAATGAATCATCAATCACTCCGGTACACTGTGAGTTCAGATGATCAGCATGTATTGCTTGTGTTTCTCAGGTCATGGTTTGGATCCATGGTGGAGGATTCGTCATGGGCTCTGCATCAACATATGATGGTTCTGCTTTGGCTGCCTACCAGGATGTGGTTGTGGTGCTGATCCAATACCGTTTGGGACTGCTGGGGTTCTTCAGGTAAGACTAGAACCACTACTGAACCACACACAATTGGAACCAACTTTTCTGCAGCCGTCAGTGACAATTGACAAGGTTTATGGCGAACAGCCGTCAGTGACAAGCATTCGCCATAAACCTTATAATTATTTATTTTTTGTATGTATTTTTTTCTTCTTCTTACAATACAAAAATATACACTACCGTTCAAAAGTTTGGGGTCACCTAGAAATGTCCTTGTTTTCGAAAGAAAAGCAATTTTTTTGTCAGTTGAAGTCGGAAGTTTACATACACTTAGGTTGGAGTCATTAAAACTCGTTTTTCAACCACTCCACAAATTTCTTATTAACAAACTATAGTTTTGGCAAGTCGGTAAGGACATCTACTTTGTGCATGACAAAGGTAATTTTTCCAACAATTGTTTACAGACATATTATTTCACTTATAATTCACTGTATCACAATTCCAGTGGGTCTGAAGTTTACATACACTAAGTTCACTGTGCCTTTAAACAGCTTGGAAAATTCCAGAAGATGATGTCATGGCTTTAGAAGCTTCTGATAGGCTAATTGATATCATTTGAGTCAATTGGAGGTGTACCTATGGATGTATTTCAAGGCCTACCTTCAAACTCAATGCCTCTTTGCTTGACATCATGGGAAAATCAAAAGAAATCAGTCAAGACCTCAGAAAAGAAATTGTAGACCTCCACAAGTCTGGTTCATCCTTGGGAGCAATTTCCAAACGCCTGAAGGTACCACGTTCATCTGTACAAACAATAGTATGCAAGTATAAACACCATGGGACCAAGCAGCCGTAATACCGCTCAGGAAAGAGACGCGTTATGTCTCCTAGAGATGAACGTACTTTGGTGCGAAAAGTGCAAATCAATCCCAGAACAACAGCAAAGGACCTTGTGAAGATGCTGGAGGAAACAGGTACAAAAGTATCTATATCCACAGTAAAACGAGTCCTATATCGACATAACCTGAAAGGCCGCTCAGCAAGGAAGAACCCACTGCTCCAAAACCGCCATAAAAAAGCCTGACTACAGTTTGCAACTGCACATGGGGACAAAGATCGTACTTTTTGGAGAAATGTACAGTCGTGGTCAAAGGTTTTGAGAATGACACAAATATTAATTTTCACAAAGTCTGCTGCCTCAGTTTTTATGATGGCAATTTGCATATACTCCAGAATGTTATGAAGAGTGATCAGATGAATTGCAATTAATTGCAATGTCCCTCTTTGCCATGAAAATGAACTTAATCCCCAAAAAACATTTCCACTGCATTTCAGCCCTGCCACAAAAGGACCAGCTGACATCATGTCAGTGATTCTCTCGTTAACACAGGTGAGAGTGTTGACGAGGACAAGGCTGGAGTTCACACTGTCATGCTGATTGAGTTAGAATAACAGACTGGAAGCTTTAAAAGGAGGGTGGTGCTTGAAATCATTGTTCTTCCTCTGTTAATCATGGTTACCTGCAAGGAAACACGTGCCGTCATCATTGCTTTGCACAAAAAGGGCTTCACAGGCAAGGATATTGCTGCTAGTAAGATTGCACCTAAATCAACCATTTATCGGATCATCAAGAACTTCAAGGAGAGAGGTTCAATTGTTGTGAAGAAGGCGTCAGGGCGGCCAAGAAAGTCCAGCAAGCGCCAGGACCGTCTCCTAAAGTTGATTAAGCTGCGGAATCGGGGCACCACCAGTGCAGAGCTTGCTCAGGAATGGCAGCAGGCAGGTGTGAGTGCATCTGCACGCACAGTGAAGCAAATACTTTTGGAGGATGGCCTGGTGTCAAGAAGGCCAGCTAGGAAGCCACTTCTCTCCAGGAAAAACATCAGGGACAGACTGAGGACTGGGGTAAAGTCATTTTCTCTGATGAATCCCCTTTCCGATTGTTTGGAGCATCCGGAAAAAAGCATGTCCGGAGAAGACAAGGTGAGCGCTACCATCAGTCCTGTGTCATGACAACAATAAAGCATCCTGAGACCATTCATGTGTGGGGTTGCTTCTCAGCCAAGGGAGTGGGCTCACTCACAATTTTGCCTAAGAACACAGCCATGAATAAAGAATGGTACCAACACATCCTCAGAGAGCAACTTCTCCCAACCATCCAAGAACAGTTTGGTGACGACCAATGCCTTTTCCAGCATGATGGAGCACCTTGCCATAAGGCAAAAGTGATAACTAAGTGGCTCGGGGAATGAAACATCGACATTTTGGGTCCATGGCTGTCAGGGCCGTGTAGAAATGGTGTGGTGTGGAATCAGGTGCAGAAGCAGATTGATAGTCCAATAAACTTTACTGGAAAGTGCGAGGCAATAATCCAAAAACAGCCAGAGGCAAAACGCACACAGGCGTAAATTACAAGCGCGCATAAACAGGCGCGCAAAACTCTTCTCAACTGAGAAGTAAGCAATACAGTAGAGGCGTACCAAACACAGGTACGAAATGACACCTAACACGAAACAATTACACACAACACTACACTAACAACAAGGAAACTAAATAGGGTGCTTAATTAGACATAACACAAGACAGGTGTGGCTAACAGACAAAACTAGTCAAACAGAAAACATAGAGCGGTGGCAGCTAGTACTCCGGAGACGACGACCGGCGAAACCTGCCCGAACAAGGAGGAGGAGCTGCCTCGGCCGAAACCGTGACAGTACCCCCCCCTTGACGCGCGGCTCCAGCCGTGCGCCGACTTCGGCCTCGGGGACGCCCAGGAGGGCGCGGCGCCGGGTGCGTAGGATGACCACGATGGAATTCGGTCATCAGGGACGGATCCAGAATATCCCTCCTCGGCACCCAGCACCGCTCCTCCGGACCGTACCCCTCCCACTCCACGAGATATTGGAGACCCCCCATCCGGCGTCTGGAATCCAGGATGGTCCGAACAGTGTACGACGGAGCCCCCTCGATCTCCAACGGGGGCGGAGGAGTCTCCTCAATCCCGAAGTCCTGGAGTGGACCAGCTACCACCGGCCTGAGGAGAGACACATGGAATGAGGGGTTAATATTCTTGTAATCAATAGGTAGTTCTAACCTGTAACACACCTCATTAAATCTCCTCAGGACTTTAAAAGGCCCCACAAACCGCCGACCCAGCTTCCGGCAGGGCAGGCGGAGGGGTAGGTTTCTGGTTGAGAGCCAGACTCGATCTCCAGGTGCGTACACTGGCCCCTCACTGCGGCGTAGGTCGGCGCTCGTCTTTTGTCGAAGTATGGCACGCTGCAGATGGACATGAGCAGCGTTCCACGTCTCCTCCGAGCGCCCTACCCACTCATCCACAGCGGGGGCCTCGATCTGGCTCTCATGCCACGGTGCCAGAACCGGCTGATACCCTAAGACACACTGAAAAGGGGTTAGTCTAGTGGAGGAGTGGCGGAGAGAGTTCTGTGCCATCTCGGCCCAGGGCACATATCTCGCCCACTCCTCCGGCCGGTCCTGACAATATGACCTCAGAAACCTACCCACATCCTGGTTGACTCTTTCGACCTGCCCATTGCTCTCCGGGTGGTAACCCGAGGTAAGGCTCACCGAGACCCCCAAACGTTCCATAAATGCTCTCCAGACTCTGGAGGTAAACTGGGGGCCTCGATCAGACACTATATCCTCGGGTACCCCGTAATGCCGGAAGACGTGAGTAAATAGAGCCTCAGCGGTCTGTAGGGCAGTAGGAAGACCCGGCATGGGAAGGAGACGACAGGCCTTAGAGAACCGATCCACAACGACCAGGATGGTGGTATTCCCCTGAGAGGAGGGAAGATCGGTAACAAAATCCACCGATAGATGAGACCAGGGCCGCTGTGGAACGGGCAGGGGCTGTAATTTACCCCTGGGCAAATGTCTGGGTGCCTTACACTGGGCACATATTGAGCAGGAGGAGACATAAACCCTCACATCCCTGGCTAATGTTGGCCACCAGTACTTCATACTAAGGCAGTGCACCGTCCGGCCAATACCCGGATGTCCAGAGGAGGGCGACGTGTGAGCCCAATAAATCAACCGATCCCGGACCTCGAGCGGGACGTACGTCCGACCCACCGGACACTGTGGAGGACTAGGGTCGGTACGTAACGCCCGCTCGATCTCCGCATCGACCTCCCACACCACCGGTGCCACCAGACACGACTCCGGTAGTATGGGAATGGACTCCACGCACCTCTCCTCCGCGTCATACCGGCGGGACAGAGCATCTGCCTTCCCGTTCTGGGACCCAGGGATGTAAGTGATCTTAAACACAAACCGGGCGAGAAACATAGTCCATCGAGCCTGGCGAGGATTTAGTCTCCTAGCGGCCCGAATATATTCCAGGTTACGGTGATCGGTCAGAATAAGGAAAGGGTGCTGAGCCCCCTCAAGCCAATGCCTCCACACCTTTAGGGCCTGGACTACGGCTAACAGCTCCCTGTCCCCTACGTCATAATTCCGCTCCGCCGGACTGAGCTTCTTAGAATAAAAAGCACAGGGGCGGAGCTTAGGTGGTGTACCCGAGCGTTGAGATAGAACGGCCCCAATACCGGCCTCGGACGCGTCTACCTCAACTTGAAACGGTAAAGTGGGATCCGGGTGCGCCAACACCGGAGCCGAGGTAAACAGGTCCTTCAGTCTCCCAAAAGCCCTGTCCGCCTCAGCCGACCACTGCAAGCGCACCGGACCCCCCTTCAGAAGAGACGTAATGGGAGCTGCCACCTGTCCAAAACCCCGGATAAACCTCCGGTAGTAATTCGCAAAACCCAAAAACCGCTGCACCTCTTTAACCGTCGTTGGGGTTTGCCAATTACGCACGGCGGACACTCGGTCCACCTCCATTCTCACCCCTGACGCAGACAACTGGTAACCCAAAAAGGAAACTGACTCCTGGAAGAACAGGCATTTCTCAGCCTTGACATACAGGTCATGCTCCAACAGTCTCCTCAATACCCTGCGCACCAGGGCTACATGCTCGGCCCGAGTAGGGCTGTACACCAGAATATCATTGATGTACACCACCACTCCCTGCGCCTGCAT